TACTTGAATTCTCTACCGGAACATGTAATATCAGCACATTCTGTTGATATATTCAAAAGGAGATTGGACCTGCACGGTGTTACAAAGTGCAAGGACAAATATAGGTCGATGGACCTGAAGATGACACAGGTGTTCAGTGTTTGACAACGCTTCTACCAGTAACACTTAATATGATTTGTACCCACCGAGAGAAATCATAAGAGAGAGTCGAGGAGATCGGAAGAGTGTATTTGGCGATAACCAAAATATCGGAATTCTCTGGTCTAATCTGGCTAGCGATTGCGGTCGATGTTGAGCACGGCGTTACCACACGTGGTCTGGTGCGGATGTCTGATCGAGCGCCTTCAGCTAGATGAGTCCACTAAAACATATGGTCAGCATCCAATGTCGAAAATTTACAGGGCTATTTATTTTGGGGATTTATTTACCGCTACAGACCTACTATCCTCATCACTGGATACTGATTATTGTTTTAGTATTAACATAAAAGCGAGGGAAAGTGAGGCTGAAGTTTTCATAGCCTGGATTCAATCGAAACCTTAAGTTTTACATTCACTATCATGGCTCCTACATTCACAATTGACCACAAAGCACATGTTTTCCATTTTGGTTAGGTGTTCACAATGTAATCCTTATAGCTAATGAGATTACTGTAGGTGAAAACGGAAAATAAGGCTAGCTCACTCTGACTATCAGATTAAACTGGATTTAAATCCACAAGGACCGTCTATCATGAAGATTGAACATATTTGTCTAAATTACACAGCTGGACTTGAATCGGTACCCAGACACTTGAGCACGGCGTTCCCACTCGTGATCTGGGTGGATACATGACCGATCATCCAATGTCGAAAACTTACAGAGTTATTTATTTTGGGGATTTATTTACCACTACAACACTATTGATAATCCACATCAACCACTTTGAAATAATAGCTTCTGCCGTTTAAACGGTCGTTGGTCAGGCGAAATTGAATATAACGTAGTATATCAATCAGGGATAAACTGTGACACATACTTTTGAACGTACAACTGATGATGTTTCACTGCAGTTCAGTAAAAAATCTAGAACACATTTGAAAAGTATACAACCACTGCAGAGGACATAGAGACTGTAAACAGTTATCTTAAATTTGTCTGTGAACTAAAAATTACTTCATAAAACCTTTCGAATGATTAAATGTTTGGAATTGTTAAGGGCGCTTGTAAGTTCACATCCTAAAATCTTGTCAATTCAGAGCAATCCATTTCAAGTCCATGTTATTATTTGACCAAAAAAGGTATTCATCGTCATGAGACGTGATATAAGACAATGTAATCTACGTTGCAACATGTGGAAACAGAGAACTCTGCATAAACGACCGTCTGTTTCTTTACTTATGCATCCAGTATTCTTGCGGCTTTTATGACAAAATACGAAGACTATGCTTATATACGGCTATGTGATTCCCAAATTTTGAAACTTTAAGGCAGGTGCATGTGGCTGTCGTTGTCGATGGTTACTGTTGAAGCATTGGAGTGTTCTTCCCGAGTAAATCTGACATATTTCCAATGAGTCACTCCGATCGCGTCAGTTTTATGTAGGTTAAAATTGACCGTACAGTGTGGCAGAGAAATAGTGTAATATGATTGTCATTACTATTGATACAATAGTCTTCCATAATCGTTGGCAATTATTTCTGTTGTGACGCGACATTTGCCGCCGTATCAAGTTGTATAGACTGTTGCTTTCGATAATGAATATATTGTATTCATAATTGTTATTTGCTGCTTGTCCCAGATCAAGTATGGTGATCACATAGTTTTTTAAACTCATATACTTGATTCACTCGCACAACGAAGGGATTACTGTTCGAATATAATAAGAGTAAGCATGGCTAAAATGCTAATACGAAGCTTCAGCTCCTATCGGGATGGTGAGTCATTCACAGAAGACCTTTATGAATGAAGTGATATAACACCAAGCATCTGTATTGTTCCTTTGACATTAATAAATATTTCTCTAAGTATAACTTCAGACACTTTACGTCTTAGTGGAGCTAATACTGACCAACCGATTCAAAGAGATCACTCACCGCCTAGTGAATGTAAAGTCATATCTTGTAAAGAGGACTTGTACAGCCATAAAATGTACCTTATGCACTTAATGTAAAAACTGTTTACCTAGAGATAACAATAATTTGTTTCTCATTTATAAACACTCAAATATTATTCCATCACTCTCCAAAACTGACGCTGATCTTTTCAGATTACCGAGCGACTGTAATAATCCATATCTATGAAGGATCATATGTTAGTTAAAATCAGAATTTTTAAAACTCCAATAGTGCTGTGCATTTGTTTCACGACGTCGAACTTCTTTAGTCCGATATATCGGAATGAAAGAGCATGTAGATGAAGGCTTATAATAGTGGTACTCTCAAGGCAAATCTAAATACGAAGTGAACAAGATGAATGAACTTCCTTGGAAAACGTTTCTTCCGATGACGCAAGGAGGGACTTGTACAATTGCATTGTAAAATGTATTTGCAAAACATTGCTTATCTAAATATTTTGTAGACGTTAAATCACTACTTTTCAAAATAAAAGGATGTTTCTACTAGACAAAAATCACAACTCTACGCCACTGATGGACCGACTGAAAGGTGCCCAACGAAGAATGGGGAACCGTCATGGCTGCCACGGCAATAAAACGTTGGACAGGACGGATTAATTCCCTTCACAGAAATCCGGAAATAAAGCAACGCGACCGAAAAAACAATAGTAAATGGATATTCGCAAAAACATTTCCTTTATCCAGAAATTAAATATAGCACATGCGAAGTGGAAATTAAGAATCATAAACTTATGTTCAGATATTTATAAAGGCTACCGTCTTTTGCAAGTATATATGTAAGGATGTTCACTAGCACAAAACACATGCAAAGATCGTACAGTATATTTCGGAGGTAGATTCAGATAAATACTTGTCTGAGTATATCTGACAATAATCGTAGATTGCAAAATGGACAGTGACATTTCATCGATGCATTTTACTGAACCCCTTAGGCTTCTCAGCAATCAGTGAGTCACCAGTTTCCAAATCCAAACTTGAGGCACTTAACCCCGCCAATATGTTACTATTATCTTACATTGTTTGTGAAATAATGCAAAATCTCAAACTCTGAAACCGCCACAATTATATCGAAAGTAAATCGTCGCACGTTAGGCATAGTTACCTCGATCAGCTTCAGTATCCCTAGTTGTTATAACTGCTACGACTATTTATTCAACTACTTGTAACCTTAATATATGTGCAACACTTCCTGACTTACTAAAAATTGCTAATCAAAACAGTCGAGCGTAGAGCTACCATTTCCCTTTTTCGTCTTTATCAGTTGATCTTTTTACCTACCGCTTTTCATTATCAATTATTCTGAAAGGCATTAATCCCCCCTCAGTCCCTATGCCGTAATAACAGGATCTACTTGTTGATATCTTGTTCTACGGGAGGGTGCAGTGGGTAATCGTTAGGAGGAGAAACAATAACGAGTTAGTAGCGGCTGCACCAAGAATTCGGAGTGTGACATTGAACAAAAATCCCTGTCGTTATAACCAAGAAAAGTCTTTCGATGAACAACCAGATTCTACCTGTTGGGTACGAGTATTATCGTAGCTAACCTGTGCCGCTTATGTAGGAGCAAAATGCGACGAAAGGTACACCTCCTTCACTTAGAGTCACACTACTCCACAATGTAGATAGACTTAATATTCCTGAAATCTGGTAGAACAATAGCTAAGTGGTTTTGGGCCATTAGGGTTTGGTATGGGAAGCTTCGTAAAATGCAAAAATCCGGAAGTAAGCTAACTAAAAATGCTGAAAAACCCGCCAGTATGATGGTTTATGGGGTATTATAGTTGATTTACGGCAATCAGTAGGAAGTTTGTGAAGATAACATAGAGCAGTGGTCTTAGTTGTCACGCCCTCCAGGGAGTTTATAAAACGTCGAAGACTATTGTATCCTAACGTCATTTGATGAGAGTGAACTTCTATAAACAAGGCGACTTAACTTAAATCCTTAGGGAAATGAAAAACACTGTTTTAACGGGATGTATATTTGTATTGGAATACACTGATTGGCAATGTCCTAGCCAATCAACACTGGCGGATGCTCAGAGAAGACTCTAGAATCTCGTGCAAAACCATAAATATACTAACGTGCTTCTTATTTTGATTCCTAATTCCATTCAACCTTTCCCATTTGGAATATAATTATGTTTCTGTTCAATCGTGTTTCGATTTGGGGACCTATTGAGTGAAATATTGCAAGAATGAGCGATCAGGTTAACTGGGTGACAGGAAGAGAACTCATAACACACTGGTAGACCGACCAATGAACATTTATTTGATAACAACTTCATACTTGGTTTATGAAGGTACATATTTCTCCACTGAACTCATGTTTTTCAATACTACAGTTTCAGGGTTTTTGAATTTTGGTAGATGCCTCCTTAGTTATACTATGTTTGTAGAGACACTTTGGCACAGTGACCTAACGGGTTCCATGTAATAGATTGTCGACTTTCACTCTCTAAAATAACACTTTCAAACGAAAGCAAACAAAAGGGGTATCGCTAAGGATATATAACCTTGCTAATCACTTGACATTCATTGTTTGGAAGAACTGCTTGGCAGATTTTCAGGTTACTACTAATTTATATTACAATAAAAAGCGTGGCCGTTTAAAGGCCCATTTTCGTGAGCAAACGTAAGTTCCGTTACGTAGGAAACTCGGTACTTCATCAACTGGGCCGCCAGAGAGAGCTATCTGCTAATCCTAATAAAATAGTGTTGTTTTGTTATTTTTTGATTCCGATCTGATTTGTCTTTTTATATAAAGAAACAATACGGCAAATAAGGTCCGCTCTAATTACAACTCTGATACTCAACGAACTATATTTCTGACAATTATATAGTATGTCAATGAGTGACTTCCGTGTTCTCACAGTAATAAAACAAATTGAACCCAGTACTGATATAATTCATAAATAAATGTGTCATACATGTAATAAATGTAAAAACCGACACTTCATTAGTACTACGGTGTAACACCTTTGGATAATTTGGTGGACTAATTATGCAATAATTAGATCAGTAATAAAGCATTATGAAAGAAATGAGTAAACCCTTATTAGGAAGGAATGTTAACAACTTGGATTATTTTATCACGAAAAATAACTTATATGGGAAATAAGCTTGGTATGAGCATGAAGAAATTACTGATTAGATTTATCAACAAAAAATATGTACTATAAAAAGACTGGGAAAATCAGATCATACACAACTACTTTTCCTGGCTGGTAAAAGACAAAGATTATAATGAACGTTGGATTTCCAGAAACTTTGAAGTTTCCACCCACACCAACCTTTTTCGGTAATAAGCTTAATATTTCCAAAGGGGCCAGTATAATGAGGATCCAGAATTAAATAGCGATGTGACGAAGATTCAGTACCGTTCAATGTTGACTCACATAACTGAACACCAATAATTGTATGAGCTAATTGGCCACCACCAACCATAACTGGTCCTCCACCGGAAGTGAAATGCTGTGCAAGAGCATGTGCTGCTAGCTGGTTCATCTGATGTCCTTGTGGGATGTGCAGAAGCCGACACTGAATGTTGTATAACTCTTGCAAACAATAACTCACCTGAATACAAGCACAGATACATGCAACTTTAAAATACAAGACAAAATCTCAAGAAGAATAGAATTACTCCTACATATATTTCGCAAAACGAGTGAAAGTAGCACCAGAAAATCCTTTTTATCACTGCAATTTACCATAATTCATACAAAAAATAATCAAAATCTGCTCACTAAAAATACGAAGATGCATTAGCAACTCTTTGTGGTGTTACAAGTGTAGCAGTGAGTTCGAAAGTCGATACGAGGCTGAGTAGTTTAGACAAATTTCTCAGTCCTGAGAGGATATTGCCATAGCCATCTGCTGCAATTACGTTTAAAAACTCACTTATGGAGAAATTGTCCCATTTGGTGACCCAGTACATCGACTTAGCAACGGGCATAAATAAATGTAGTCCTAACCGTGAAGCCACTGTCTATTGGTGGAGTCATTGTGATAAAATATATAGTAAGTGATATGATTGCAAATCGGTTGCAGTGGTGCATTTGTATTTATTCCTGTTTTCAGATCTTATGTTTTAATATTATTTCGTTTAGTTTATTTAGTTCTGTTCATCTTTTAAAAACCGTATCCGTTTATTTTTTGGTATTATATTCGAAAATACTATTTTTAGCTACGTATCTTGCTTTGCTGAAGTGATGTATCAACTAGAGTTGGTCCGCACTTTTTCCTGATTTTATGTTGCTTATGACATTGACTGATCATCATTTCACTTGCGAGGATCATGATGATAAAAGTTCAGGATATATGGAGAAATATATGGCTCATTAGATTAGGCACCAACAGATTGTTTACGAAGCTAATAACTGTAGTCACTTTTAATAAAGACGAGACTCCCTCGTTTTTTTATTTTAACACATAGATATTGGTACAAGGAGGCACCAAATACATATGAGCCACACAGATCTCATTTGATATGTGTGAGGGCTGTTATATTTCCCGGGTGCCCAAAACGAAACAAGGACTCCCTCGCTACCCTGTGGATAACCTCCAGACAAATCCGTTGCATGGAAATATTAGTACAGAGGCATTGAGTCAATTAGTTTGGGACAAGATTCATACGTATCAAATGGTTCATTAGGAGCATCCAAAACAAAACAAATTTCACTAAATACAAGAAATTGCATATTCATTTTCGAACCATGAATTGGTATCTAGTTTTTTTAGAGGATAAGGATTTGCACTACTTAATCAGTTTTAAAAATAGTAAATAAATGAATTATAATCATATATAATAGACAAACGTTACATAAAAAGAACTCATTAAACAGCGATTTAAGTTCACTGAATTTGGAAAACTAATTATTCAAGTACGTTTCTAGAAATCGAATTGGCTTCTTCCGAACATGACAACTGTTTCACACGTATCAATAAGCAGAATTCTTAACTGCTTGAAAGTGTCGTAAATTTATGAAACTCGTTACGCGGTACTTCTCTACAATGATTAGGCATAAAATATGTTTTACAAATAGTAACATATAAACGACAAATAAGGAAGGTACAAGAAAAACCGAAAAATATGAAATTAGAAATATTTATAATGCAATATTGAGAGTAAAGGCTTTGTTATTACAAGAACACAAACGTAGTATGATACAAAACAGCCGAAATGTAACGCAGAAAATATAAGCTAAGAGTTTAATTACAAATAAAACAGTAAGAAAACGGACACCAAGAAGTTAACACATGTACATTGACGTCCCCAGCACAATTTTAGGTTTTTATATAACAGTTTCTAATTTTACTAAAATTCTCCTGACAGACTTTCTACTTAGTTTTGTTAATATTCATAAAGCATGAAATCTGAAAATTAATTTTAGGATCAATACCTGGTATTTAATTGATAAATAAATCTGAAAGAAAATGAACACATAATGGGATCTACATTTAGGCTTTTGCTAACTAACTACTTCATCAATGACATCTATCTGTTAATTAGATTGAGGCTTACGAAAACGTGTTAACATATTTCACATTTTTGTACTGAACTTAGGCTTACATAGGATTCTGCATATACTTCATATACTTATAAACAGAGAAAAGGGAATCGGTGGATCAAATCTCTTTTAAACTGATAATAAATGACGAAACGTTCAAGAAGAGAGTTAATTATAAACCAAAGTAAATATTCGACTAATTTATGCCTATAACTTCACCATGACAATATACTCGAGGTATTTATTTGGATAACACAATATACAGTAAACCATTAGTATTTGTTTTATCGGTATCGATGTAAAAAGTGCTCCGATTAATTCCCTTTTATAAGATAAATGATCACATTTCAACAAAATATTTAGAGACAATAAAGTTATGGATATTATCCACTTATGTTTTCATTTAACCCAAACGCATAAAATAACTCAAAGACGCGGTGCTGTTAAAACAGAACGGGGGAGAATTATAATATAAGTCGTATAAAAAGAATATCAATAATACTTAATTTAAAAACCACGCGAAAGAGTTATGCAACAAAATCCTATTCTATGAACAACAACCACTTTGGTTCCAATTAGTAAAAAAAAGAGGTGTGTGACACTTTATAATGAACTTTAATTCATTCTATGAACAGTTTAACAGCTAGTTTGAAATTCAGCGCTCTAAATATTCATTCGCGTTAAAGCTGTCTCTGTTGTTGTCATCAAACATTGGGTGTTGTAAATCCTCCCTTTGATGATTAAAGTCGAGTTGGCTGAATGTTTAAAGCACTCGATTTTCAAAAATAGGTGAAAGGTTTGATCCTAATCAAAACTAGTTCCGTTTGAGAACTCGTGCAGTATCAAGAGTTGTTATATAGACCCTAAGGCTCAAATCCGAATACAATACCACACATAGTGAACGCGTTATGATATGCCCAAACCCAAACGCCTGCAGCTGAATCTGAGGAGCTAGACCTATTTTAAGAACGCTTATTTAATAATTTGAGCCTATTGGAAATCAACCAAATAGTTAGTGCACGAAATTGACTTAGAAGTGACTTGCATTTTTAAAAGGTGGGACATACATCAAAGGAGGCCTGACATAGATGACTGTTTGATTGCTAATCTCAAAGACAATATACTTAGATGAAAAACTGATAGCCTCTATCTGTACAAGAGATATTTAGATGACACTTTCATTATTTGTGACAAAAATACTAATTTCAACGATATCTTGGATGCGTTCACTGTCATCAATCAACCAAGTTCATAAAGGAATCAGAGTAGGATTCAGAATCCCACTTCTTATATATTTTTGTTAGAGACCTGGCGGTCCTCCACAAACATCGGAATATAAAAAGCTAACATAGAATGATCAATACACGAGTTTTGAAAGTTGGGTCCCGCTGAATCAAAAGAGAAACCTAATTACTTTTCTATGTACGTGTGGTAGACGTAACTGTACCGAGGATACAATCGGTACCAAATTTGATAAACTACGGCAGATACTGATCAACAACGATACACACCCAGATTCATTGAGAAAAACCTCATGCCAATACGTGTCTCGAGCACCGAAGAAGATTCTCTTCATGAACATTCAGCTTAAAGGAAATATTGCAATGGAAATTTTGATAAACAGGCCTTCGAGATCTCTAAGAAAAACATCCTATTCAATCGGCTTATGATTCGTAGTTGTGTGGAAAATAAACTTGCGCTTTGGACCAAATCAATGTGCATCTATCAGTTTACTTGCTCATGTGGAGCAGTATATATTGGCCACACAAAGCGAGCTCTTTCAAAAAACATTTCCGAACACTATCCTGCCTGGCTTACCAAAAGATCACAGAAGTCGGTAAAAAAATCAATCTTGGAGCATCTAGTCAACTGATATAAGTATTATTCAGGAACAGTTTGTCCATTTAGTTAATGTTAATTCGTCCTGTAAAGTATATAATAAAACTAGGTTCTTCAGAACAAGGTAAAGTTAGCCTTAATGACTTTGCTTACCATATTTTAACTGCCGTACAGGTGTATTACAGTACGATTACACCAACTACAAATAGAGCATTACGCTTTGCTGGATAATGGAGACAAATGTTCGTGAATGAGGTTTTGATAAAAATGCCATCATCTATTTGGAAAAAACCAATTTATCACAAAATTATAGAGAAACTTATGTCAGTCTCGGCTATATTTAATATTATTTTTTTTAGAAGCTAAGGCATTGTTTTATTAACATCGTAGTTGAGTATTAGCAATGCGTCGTCTTTTGAATAGAACCAATTGTTAGATTCACTACTACCCCCGGAAAAATGTTAAACCAAACTAAATGTGCAAACATATGATTCGGTGAGTTGGTTTTATTATTTGAGTTTTCCTGCATAATCTGAAACCTAGATATACCTTAAATACCGGTTTGAAAATGCTTTAAAGAAAACCGTTTTATTCCCAGATTGAAATGTTTTGAATTTTTCACTAAGTCAATAACATCAACGCCAACAGAAAAATATACACTCAATTATTTAATAGGTTCTCTTCAACCGATTGGGACTTACACACAACAGTAAAAGTCATTTAGAGAAAAGCGTTCAAAAATTATATAGGATTGACAGAAGTGTCTCGATCACAGTCGGGAATGACCGATGAAAAACAAAAACATGAGCATCATCAAAATTGTATCCATGACTGAACCAACAACCGTTGATGCTACCTTGACGTGATGGTCAGGCTTGCCTATCGTAGTGAACCAATCGGGCTATACTGGCTGGAACAATCGTTCCTCAAGGTCCCATCATGTCAGGCAGGTCGGTTGAAGAGCCGTAAGACTAAAAGCAACAAACTCAAGGTCTGCTGACTGTACAGACGTGTGACCGCAGTAAGGTGTTTCCCTCAGACAAGCAGCCTAACAGCGATGCTGTCTTCCCACAAGAAAGGATGGGATTAGAAAAGGTCGACCCTAAAAATGCACATCTCGCCTTATCCAACGGATTTCCGTTTCCAGCGGTAAGATCCAAACAAGTATGGAGCTAACACGAAAATTACTCACAAAAAGGTTGTGTGTGACCGACCTCAAGCAGTTGTCCCTTGGGCACTGCGATCACGCTCTTGTGTCACTAAGACCGACTCTAAGCCAATTCCCTTTTCAGGTACCTTTAGAAGAACCCTTCTACGGTGTGAGCAACCGCGCAGTGACGATTACTCTCATAACTCTAACAGCGCTCAAGATCACTGTATTCATAATCAATCCTCCTCTTCATTCATTTGACCTCACCATGCCAAAATAAAGAACCGACTCGATTTACGCTTCGTGTATCTGGAAGCCCTGATTCTGCTTCCCGTGGCCTCGCCGGCGTAGGTATAGCATTGAGTCCTAGGGCGGAACTAGCTCTCTTAGAGTGGATCCCAGTAGACAGTCGTTTGTGCGCTGTCCGACTGAACGGAACAGTAAGAATCCGGAAAGATAGGGACACTCGTCGTTGCCTCTTCGTCGTCTCTGCCTATTCTCCCACTGACTGCAGCACAGATGATGTGAAAGATGAGTTTTACAGAAAGCTTTCCGAACTTCTACGAAAAGTTAGGTGCTCTGATGTAGTAATAGTGGCTGGTGACTTTAATGCTCAAGTAGGTAAACTAAGCAAAAGACACCTAGATGGATTTTATGGTGTCATGGCTCAAAGAACAGATAATGGCGACCATCTGTTGCAGATATGCTCAGATAACCGCCTGTTTCTTGCAAATACTAAATTTAAGCATAAAGAGAAACATCTTTTAACATGGCGACCCCCTAATTCGTCCCAACGTTGGACCCAAATAGATCACATCGCTATCAGTCACCGATGCAGGGGCTCGATAGAAGACTGTCGCTCATTCTGGAGCACATGCTTAGATTCAGATTATGCTCTAGTGCGAGCGGGTATTTGCTTGCGTCTACATGGACTTGAGAAGGACGCTGCAAGGAAACCTCTTAGGGCCCTACCTTATGATAGTCAAGCTAAGAGTATATTTCAGGAACAACTAGAAAAACAGCTAAGCAGTCATGTATGTGATGCCCACCCCGAGGCAGCATGGAATGATATCTGAAAAGCTGTGGAAACAGCAGTGATATCTGCTAGCAAGGTAAACCACAAGGTTAGGGAGCAACACTGGATCTCAGCAGCATCTATCTCACTGATAGATGCTCGGAAACTCACTCCATCTGGCTCTGAGCATAATGAAGAGCGGAGTCAGCTTAAGCGCAAGCTGACAAGAAGTCTACGCAATGATCGTGAACAGTGGTGGGTAGCGAAGACAAGAGAGATGGAAAAAGCAGCGGCAATAGGTAATAGCAAACAATTGTTCAGACGTGTTAAGGAAACCGGTATTAGGAAACCGACTGCTAGCGAAACACTCTCAGAGAAAGATGGACATATTATACATTCTCAATCCAGGAGATTGGATCGATGGGCAGAACACTTTAGGGATCAGTTCAACTGGCCTTCAGCCATACTTCGGTTTCCCACGATCTCCAGTGAACCTGAATGGCAAGTTAATGTAGGTCCTCCGTCTCTTTACGAAGTTGAAAAAGCCATAGGAAATCTGAAACGAGGGAGAGCAGCAGGCCCTGACACGTTTACTCCTGAGATTTTTAAGGATGGTGGTCCAGTATTAGCAGTGAGATTAACTGAGGTCTTAGGTTGAATTTGGGAACTGGACGTAATTCCATCTGACTGGTCTCAATCACTGATTGTGCCAGTCTATAAGAAAGGAAAAAAGTACTCTTGTGACAACCACAGAGGAATCAGTTTGCCTAACATAGTGTCTAAAATATCAGTCTCAATAATACTTCGACGCCTAACTAAAGCTCGTGAAGAACAGACTAGAGAAAATCAGGCTGGTTTTCGACCTGGACGTGGTTGTATAGACCAGATATTCACACTACGTCAGGTTCTAGAACACAGACACACATTCAGACGTCCCACAATCGTAGTATTTCTCGACCTCAAGGCGGCATTTGACTCTGTTGATCGTGAGGTTCTGTTGCAGAGTTTGTCACTGAAAGGAGTACTAAAGATGTACATTAACCCTACACAGGCTCTCTACTCCAACACAACTGGTCGAGTGAGAGCTTATGGCGAACTCTCATCAGAATTGATTACCTCAAGTGGCGTTCGTCAGGGCTGTTCATCTCTCCATTCTTGTTCAACTTTGTCGTCGACGTACTTTTAGAGATACCACTTTCCTCGTCTAAATTTCCAGGGGTCGAACTTCTACCGGGAGGTTCACTTGTTGATTTAGAATATGCTGATGACATAGTTTTATTTGGTGAAGACGCTGACAAAATGCAGAGTCTTTTGACCACTCTAAGCAACAATGCAAGCATGTTCGGGATGCGATTCTCCCCCTCGAAATGCAAAATGTTGCTTCAGGATTGGGTTGCATTGACACCCGAACTAATGATAGGGAGTGAAGTAATTGAACGTGTCGATCGCTTCACTTATCTTAGAATTCTCATCAGCCCTTGTGGTCTGGTGTGTGACGAAGTTTCAGCACGGATACAGAAAGCTCGACTAGCTTTTGCCAACTTGCGTCATTTATGGCGTAGACGAGATATCCGCCTATCAACCAAAGGACGTGCTTACTGCGCAGCAGTTCGTTCCGTCCTACTTTATGGCAGTGAAATGTGGTCGGTAAGAGTAGAGGATATCCGTAGGTTACTAGTATTTGATCATAGGTGTCTTCGAAATATTGCTCGTATATCCTGGGACCATCGAGTAAGTAATACAGCTCTGTTAGGAAACGGGTACTAGGTAAGGATGGCAAATCAATTGATGACGTAGTGAAACTTCATCAGTTGAGATGGCTGGGACACGTGTTACGTATGCACAACCATAGACTGCCTTGAAGTGCGATGTTTTGTTGTATAGGAGTAGATTGGAAGAAAGCTAGAGGCGGCCAGACCAAAACATGGCACAAGTCCATGAAGTCACTGACAAGTAGACTGAGTCATATTGGTAAGTGTAGACTACCTGGTTGGGGACCACGAGATGATAGCAACCGATGGTTAGAGACCCTGAATGACATGGCTCAAAATCGTTTGCAATGGCGCAGGTGAATCCACTCTTTGTGTTCTTCCAAATTCTAATCTTCTGAATTCTTCATGTCCCTTTCTTTTTTCTCTTTCCAAATTTATTTTACTGGATTATACTCCTTGAATAATATCTTCAAACCCAAATTTTTCTGATTAGAGCTTATAATTTTACTACATCTAGCACTACGGGATTTGAATCGACCATTGCATCTCTGTGCTAATGTGGTGTGGGTAATCGAATTGATGTACGTACGTACGAAGTTCTACGTTGTTACTGACTGACTGACATCGACTTCCAACTCGAAACTTCCGCTTTTGGCTTCCTCTTCATGTGTCACCATAGCCAACGACTCTAGTACGCAAAACACTGTCCCAGGTCTACTGAAACCTCGCTCCAAACTACACATTAAAGCCTTCAAAGTACACACACTATGGCAAATTGGTCAGCAGGCCTCCTTGGCTAAAACCCTAGAATCTCGTACCATTGATGTATGCTGCGTCTCCGGAACACGCATACAGGATCCTAGTGTGGTCATTCACTTGGCCTCCCCTCGTCAAAACGGGGAGCCGACGATATACACCCTCCATGTATATGGCGACCCGATGGCTAGTTCTCGTGGACTGGCAGGTGTAGGCATATCACTAAGTACGAGGACAGAACAAGCACTATTAGAGTGGATCCCCGTTAACAGTCGTCTATATACTGTTCGGCTAAACGGCTCCGTAAGAACTCGGAAGAATAGGGACACACGTCGTTGCTTTTTTATTGTTTCTGCCTACGCTCCCACTGACTGCAGCAGTGATGAAGTTTACAGAAAGCTTTATGAACTTCTTCATTAAGCTAAACGCCCACACATAGTATTCGTAGCAGGTGACTTTAATGCCCAAGTAGGTAGCTTAAACCAAACAGAAAGACACTTAGGTGGGTACTTTAGTATTCCGGCTCAGCGAACAGATAATGATGATGGTCCGCTGCAACTGTGCTCAGACAATCGTTTATTTTTAGCAGGCACTTATTTTAAGCATAAGGAGAAACATAGTCTAACATGGCGACCGCCTGCACCAAACCAACGATGGACTCAAATAGACCATATTGCCATCAGTCGTCGTTGGAGAGGGTCGATAGAAGACTACCACTCGTTCTGGAATACCTGCTTGGACTCCGACCATGCTCTAATACGGGCGCGCTACTGCTTGCGCCTCACTGGACGCAGAAAAGACACATTAAGAAGACCTATTGGAGTTGAACTCAACGATTAGAAGGTCAAAGGTACATTTCAGGAACAACTGAAGTCACACTTGGGCAATTTCGAAACCGAGGCTGACCCAGATGTTGCTTGGAAAGATATACAAACAGCAGTGACATCTGTTAGTGATTTAAACCAAAGAGCTACAAAAAATCAATGGATTTCTTCAAGGTCTATTGCACTGATGGATTCTCGTAAACTCATACCATCAGGCTCAGAACACGATGATGAGCGAAAGCGAATCAGATCTAGGTTAACCAAAGGTCTGAGGAACGACCGTGAACAGTGGTCGGCAACAAAAGCAAAAGAGGTGGAAAATACGGTGGCTATAGGTAACACAAGACAGCTCCTCAGACTCATGAAAGAAACTGGAACTAAAAAGTCAAGTGTAAGTGAGACTATCTCGCAAAAAGACGACACTCGTATCTGCTCCCAGTCCAGACGTTTAGAACGATGAGTAGAACACTTTACGGAGCAGTTCAGCTGCCTTCTGTTATAACTCAAAGGGCTGCCGATTAGAGGGTAGTGACTTATCGATCGGATCAAGGGATTCAGAATCTCGATAGACTACTCTGGTCCGTTGTTTCCGACTCAGCTAACGCGTGCAAGAAGTCTTGATAAGGCGTAGAAAGTGTATTCTACAGGCAACCAGCAGATACCAGGTCAGGTCAATCAGGCACACAAGTCAAGCGTATTTATACAAATATTTACAATCGATATTGTCATAGTAAAATGTTTTTAAACATTAATCAGTAAGTTCATCAATCGACAACCATTCAAATATTTAATCGATAAGTTCGTCAATTGACTTATGTTTAATCATTTAATCGATAAGTTCATCGATTGACTGCCATTCAAATATTTAAACATTTAATCGATATGATAAAATTACAAAATATGAGTTTTTGGGATCTATCGTCCCCAACACCTTCAGCTACTCTACAGTTACCCACCATTTTCAAAATGCCCCAACGAAACGTTGAGAGGTAGACCCTTCGACTATAATTGAATTTCAAAGAGCTATAACTAATCTGAAACGAGAAAGAGCAGCTAATCCAGATGATGATTCAGATTTAGGGATTACGCCAACTCACCACAATCCTCCTTCAAAATCATACATACAGTCATAAGAGTTGGCTTAATAGGAATCTAAATGGCAAACTTATGTACAGCGCAGGCTATCGCTATCCGCCAGTTTCAGTCGCTCATTGTTCGATGGTCAGAACCGCCTTTTCTATCTTCCATAATCCATCGTTTATTTTAGATTTTATAATGTATATTCCTTTTCAATTATTTTCACAACTACTCATTAGCAATTGTTATAACTTTTATTCTTTTCTTAATAGCTATCGAGTGGATAATTATCTTGACCTTACCACTTTTTCAATAGCCGATAATTACATAACTTCCTTTCAATATCTGATTTTCAATTTTTGACAAGATACCACATCAAGTTCTTAAATATTCGACACCATCCTATCCTACTATAGACTACCCTGTTCTAGTAAATAAAATTAACTACTATTGTACAGTTTAAGTAAATGAAATCGTCCAAAAAATATTCTTCGTTGAATCGCTTTTTTTCTGGTCTCATATCCGTTAGCTATTTAAAAGCGTCAGGCGTATGACCCATGAGATGTTCGTATTTCACGATCTTGTTCGAAAGATTAGTCAAAGACTCTCATACCCTTAGTTTGACTACAATAAGATATGATGCATTTGAGTTAGAATAAGCTCATGTTTGTAGTTGTACGAAGAGTGATAATGTTCGACAGTTCAAATAGTCCTCTTGTACACTGACCACCTATGACTCTTCAAGATCAAAAGTCAACAATGATAGTGTAATTTTTTGTTTGTCGACATCGCCAAATATTCAGAAAGTGATTAACGGACAATTAAATTATCTACATCTTCAAGAATACTAGTAAATATACATTTTTGCGAAAAAAATTTACAGTTAAAATTGAGTAGAATAGTTTACTTTACTGGCAGAGTGGTCCTTATTTATATCAGTTCCTGACGACTTTATGTTTGCAACTTAATGATTGTCGATTAAAGACTTTAAAATAATTTCTGACAGTTGACCGAAAACTCCATAAAACCACTATATTTAATCCACAGTGACGATAACTCAGAATAAAATGCAACTACGTAATTCGTGTAACATAACATTAACACATCTACAATGCATACCTCTAGCGAGCCAATCCACTGACAACTACCGATAAAACTTTTTGGCTTATCCCCGAAACGTACAATAGAAGCTTGAATATCTCTGAGAGATGGTATTGGGCCTGGAGTTATTTCACCTTGCCACATAAGCCAAGATACTAGTGTTTGGAGCGATCGATATGCACAACCCCAATTCCTGTCATCTACTCCGTCCTAAAAATGTTAAAAAATTATTCATGTAGAGACTCAAAGCTTCTGAATTAAAAATATGATGTTACATTGGCAGAAGTCTATGGATACTTAGTCCGTTTACGCAACCTCAAAAAGAACATGGTCAAAACCAAGACAAATATGCACCACCGGAAATGTTAAGTACGGTACACACGTATGAGCATCATGATAAGAGTAACTACCTTATGTAATCTGCTATTGATTACACTTATGGATCGATGTTCTCAGTCCTTTCTAATAAATACAGTTCCAAAAATTCCCAACCAAATTTATTGCAAAAGGGTATTTAATTAATTTATGGAACAGCGTTCTAACTATTTTAAGGTGTCACAAGACTTTTGTACAATATCAGGAAACGCGAAAATTAGGTAGATCTCCAAATAGGTAGATCAATCATTCAATTTAGATCACGGTTTTTGAGTAGATTATAATTTATAATCAATCCTTAAGTGATAACCAATCGAGACCTGTATGAAAGATATTAATTTTGTTGTTGAGTTTCACAAGTACTTTAGCTGCCTTAGAAATAATCAATCGTATTGCTAGTTGGTGTACTTTAGTTACAAGTCGAAACCCTATTTCCCACATTCTAGATTTATCAAGTAAAACAATTTAGTCAATCTATGAGATGGTTATACTATGTACTTAAAACAATTAGTCCCTCTGATAAATTTCGATGTAATGAGAAGGTTATCATGATTATGTGATATATTTGCGCAATACATTTATAACAATCGAATCATACATATACTTGTTAAGACATTTTATATGAAAATTAAAGGACAAACAAACAAATTAAAAGGTAAGCAGAAACAAGGATAATAAAGTACACAAAAATAATGTGGAAACCACGCTGGATAATAAATCAGTATTACCAATGTAAGTTGAGGGTAAGAACAAATAGTTTCGACACATAAAGGGGGTGTCACTTTTCGTATAGCCAAGGCTTCAATAAACTTTAGAATACGCCCTTGAAGGATTTTGTACACAACTACAAAAGCTGACTCGATATCAACCTTATGGCCGGTCACAACCAAATGTTTCGCGATCGAGGAAGATGTTTGTCTATCCTGAGATCTTATTTGACTATTTTTTATTTTTTTATTTATTTATTTGAACACATAAATATTGGTACAAGAGAGCGCCAATATATATGCGCCACACAAAACAATGGGAATTCGAAGAAAAGTAGAAAGAGAAAAAAAAACTAAGGAACGCAAAAGAAAAAGAGAACAATGACGAAGAGATTGGAGTAAGGTAGTGTGGTAGTAACGACGGAACGACAAGGTACAATCAGAAGAAATCTTTCAGGTAAAGGAGACACAACCACTTTTTATAAAGAAAGTAAAAGAAGGTTACAGCAGGATTGCCACTCGCTTCTATTCTGAGCCATATCTGATAACGTCTCTAGTCACTGTGTAGCACCATCTCTCGGACCCCAACCAGGGAGTCGTGAAGGACCAACACAAGCCAGTCCTTCGCAGCTTTCTTTCATGCCACGACACCATGTCATGCACTGACCACCTCTCCGCTTTTTCCAACCAATCCCAGAGTCGGCAAATAATGAACGGTGTGGAATTCTCTGGGACGACATTCGGAGAACATGTCCAAGCCACCGAAGTTGGTGTTTCAAGATGGTAACACCAATTGAGTTATCATCTCTGTGCCCGAACACACGATGCCGAACCTCTGCATTACTGACATGGTGTTGCCACTGAATGTCAGCGATCCTTCGGAGACAGCGATGATCGAACACAGAGAGTCGTCTAACGTCCTCAACTCGGAGAGGCCAGGTTTCACAAACATAGAGCAAAACTGCTCTCACCGACGCGTTGTAGATCCGACCTTTTACAGCCAGACTAACATCACGAAGGCGCCAAAGGTGGCCCAGATTGGCATAAGCCGCTCTGGCTTTCACTATTCGTGCATTGATTTCATCACTCACACCCCCACCAGCACTTATGCAGCTACCCAGATACACGAACTTCTCAACTACGTCTATCTGCTCACCGTCCAGCGTGAGTACAGGATTAGAATCCTGCCAGTCTTGTAGAAGTACTTTGCACTTCGAAGGTGCAAAGCATATACCATACCTACGGACACTGATTGCCAACTGATTAAGTGCGGATTGCATGCCTTGGGCATTATCGCACAGTAAGACAATATCGTCCGCATACTCAAGGTCGAGAAGTCTTTCTCCAGGCAACAGATCCACACCACCATTACTTACATTCATCAGAGCTGTTTCCAGAATGTCATCGATGGCAAAGTTGAAGAGGAATGGTGAGATTGGGCAACCCTGCCTAACCCCACTGCTCGAATGGAACAATGGAGAGAGGGATTCATTTGTTTTTGCAACCATTTAGGTATGTGTTCAGCCATACTTACTTGCAGATCACGATTAGATCTGCCTATGCATGTGTTTCCGGACGTACATATAAATCTACACACACAGTGGGATGTGATGCAATCGCTTACGTGCTGTTCACTTTTTTGGTTAAACATAGATCTTGTCAATAATGACGAGTCGAGCTGCATAAAATGTCCTACTGATGGCTAATTTAAGTCTTTGTTTCGACATGAGATTATTTAAGTCACCTCTAGACGGTAATGTAAAATAGACTCGCTTTTTGGTGCTAGAAGCGTCCTATGTCTCATCATATTGCAACCTTTCCAAATGTTTATAAACTTCAATGAATAACCATCATTCACCAATGTTTCCGTTAAGAGCTTCGTGTCTCCTTCAATATTATCACTAGTACAAATATGACTGATCCTATGAATAAGCCCTTTATTAATCCACTTTTGTAATGAATTGGAAAACGAATGCGGGAATTAAGATTTTGCCCTGTTCATGTCGGTTTTCTATATACAGAACGTTTGATGGGACCATCGTTTCTCCTACTAATCAGAATGTCTAGAAAAAGGGGGCTTTAGTTGACTGTTTCAGTCTTAAATAAACATTTACCGGTTAATTTAAGTAATACTTCCTATTAGATAAATAATGCGTGACAGTGAGCATTCTCTCCGATGGATAATTTTAAGCATAAACTCAGTGTTATGCATGAAAATATATAATTAAATGTAAGCAAAATGGGAATTTTCACTTTGGAAAGAAAAAACCAAATATATTTAATAAGGTGTGTATTAGCTTGGTTACATAACTGTTATAATATCTCGTGTAACAACCAATCTACTCTTATTGCTTAGTATTCTGTAGACACTTTACTTCACTTGACAAGTCTTCAAATCAGAACACGGTTGAACAGGGACGTAATTATATCCCAAATAGACAAGGTCGAGTGGGGGTACGAACCACAATAAGAAGAACGTTAGTATATTTACAAATTTACACAAGATTCTAGTCTTCTTCAAGTATCCGCCAGAGCTGACTGGGTAGGAAATAACCAATCAGCGTACTCCGACGCAATCGTGCAAGGAATATGCTTTAATCAAATTTATATCCCGTTATCAATAACATTGTCTACTTCACTTGTAAAAATTAATATACCACTGAAAACAACGTCCTGGTACAACGCGTTTCGGTTAGCTTCTTTTTTACTGGTTCATAACGAATTCGTATGGATCATGAAAGGCAACTTAATATAAAAGTTTACAACTAGATATCGGACGATTAATACCATAAGCAAACCAATTTCATAAAAATAACATCAACCAATATTAAGGTAAGATAGTTAACACATACCTGAAGATAATGCTTATAAGTATACCGACCTGTAACGATGTAGGTTTGACCTATATTAGGTGCATGTTTAACGGCTTCATGAGGACACACAAGAAGTTCAGAGGACGGACCAAGCCAAGTGACTATTCTAGGTACTGGATGTAAAGCCTGACCTCGTCGGACGAGTGGAGTATCCAGTGGAAGACTGAATTCTTGAAAAACACGAATGAGTAGGTGTAAATAACTCTCGCTTTACACTAATTAAATAACACATCTGACGTCACGTGATGTACAAATGATTATACTAAAACACAAAAATCCAGTTAATTAACTCGCCTTATGTAACAAAACAACATTAAGATAACCTCTTAATATTCGAAATGTATTTATGACGAATTATCCTAACCAAAAATGAAAAATTACGGATTATTTTTGTAAAATGTACACCGATCCATCACGATTGAATAAATATAGGAATCAAGTAGTATTACTCATAAACAACAATGAGCGGCTTTTATCGTATGAAGACTGACGATACCATATGGCTGATAAGAATATATAAGGGAAGACTCGCATGATTTAACTGATAAACAGAAATGGTCACTAGGCCAAATGTTATGAACAAACATTTATTTACTTAGGTGTGATAACAAAAAGATTGATACAAAGCAATAGCTCCAAAAAAGTTTATTTAAAGTGCAAATTTAGTTCACTTACATTACTACTAAACGTCAGTTAGAAATAAGACTAATATCATGGAAATGGACACAAATTTATTAAGTTCCGTTTACAAACAAAATTACGAAAGACAGAAATCTTGTGAAGCTGAAAGTGTCAAGAAGCTGCTCTTTGTTGTAATGATAGGTTTTCTAGACGTAAGTTGACTCTTAGATATACAACAATATGGTAGGGTATATTGTTAACATTATGGATCATAAGCGGCAACAAAGTAAAACCGTGTAAACACGAATGTTTTCTAACTCGGTACACTAAAGCAACACTCTATGGTGCATTCTCAGATAAACTGTCACAATTTATCTGACGTTAAAATATAACTACGGAAAGTTGGATTGTCGTGAATTAAGCAAAATACTTTGTATTAATATACAAGAAATATTATTAGTGAAAAAATTGTTTCTTTACTAAATAAATTATCTCTAGGCGTTTTAAGGATGATTCGTCGCATCGAATGACATTTATCCACTAGTTATCGTGTTGGTAGTACAACTGAGTTGTGGAGAAGGAGAGTGGCGTGTTGAGTATAGCTGTATTCTATATTTTGAGGATGGTAGTACCCCGGCGGTTGTTGCTATCCTGACGTGATGGTCAGGCTTGCCTATCGTAGTGAACCAATCGGGCTATACTGGCTGGAACAATCGTTCCTCAAGGTCCCATCATGTCAGGCAGGTCGGTTGAAGAGCCGTAAGACTAAAAGCAACAAACTCAAGGTCTGCTGACTGTACAGACGTGTGACCGCAGTAAGGTGTTTCCCTCAGACAAGCAGCCTAACAGCGATGCTGTCTTCCCACAAGAAAGGATGGGATTAGAAAAGGTCGACCCTAAAAATGCACATCTCGCCTTATCCAACGGATTTCCGTTTCCAGCGGTAAGATCCAAACAAGTATGGAGCTAACACGAAAACTACTCACAAAAAGGTTGTGTGTGACCGACCTCAAGCAGTTGTCCCTTGGGCACTGCGATCACGCTCTTGTGTCACTAAGACCGACTCTAAGCCAATTCCCTTTTCAGGTACCTTTAGAAGAACCCTTCACCAGTGTGAGCATTTATTATTTATTTATTTGAACACATGAACGTTGGTACAAGAAGGCACCAAATACATATGCGCCACATAAATCATTCGATTTGTGTGAGGGCTGTGATACTGCTCGGGTGCCCCGAGCCTTCGACCCTAAGGTCTGACCCACAAGGCAGTGGAGCATCGTAAGGAGATGCAGTCCCATGGTAGCCGGTGACCAACGGTTGGCCTCTACACCATATGTTCCCGCAGGATACTGGAGCTCATGTGCACCATTGGTTTGGAATACGGCTAAAGCGCCGGACATTCGTTTTTCGTCATCAATTTTGTAAACAACACACCCGACACGAGAAGGCAGTGAGTAGGACTTCCCTGGCAGAGGCTATATACGCGTGGCCGTGTGAGAGCTCGACTAGCTTTTGCCAACTTGCGTCATTTATGGCGTAGACGAGATATCCGCCTATCAACCAAAGGACGTGCTTACTGCGCAGCAGTTCGTTCCGTCCTACTTTATGGCAGTGAAATGTGGTCGGTAAGAGTAGAGGATATCCGTAGGTTACTAGTATTTGATCATAGGTGTCTTCGAAATATTGCTCGTATATCCTGGGACCATCGAGTAAGTAATACAGCTCTGTTAGGAAACGGGTACTAGGTAAGGATGGCAAATCAATTGATGACGTAGTGAAACTTCATCAGTTGAGATGGCTGGGACACGTGTTACGTATGCACAACCATAGACTGCCTTGAAGTGCGATGTTTTGTTGTATAGGAGTAGATTGGAAGAAAGCTAGGGGCGGCCAGACCAAAACATGGCACAAGTCCATGAAGTCACTGATAAGTAGACTGAGTCATATTGGTAAGTGTAGACTACCTGGTTGGGGACCGCGAGATGATAGCAACCAACCCGATGGCTAGTTCTCGTGGACTGGCAGGTGTAGGCATATCACTAAGTACGAGGACAGAACAAGCACTATTAGAGTGGATCCCCGTTAACAGTCGTCTATATACTGTTCGGCTAAACGGCTCCGTAAGAACTCGGAAGAATAGGGACACACGTCGTTGCTTTTTTATTGTTTCTGCCTACGCTCCCACTGACTGCAGCAGTGATGAAGTTTACAGAAAGCTTTATGAACTTCTTCATTAAGCTAAACGCCCACACATAGTATTCGTAGCAGGTGACTTTAATGCCCAAGTAGGTAGCTTAAACCAAACAGAAAGACACTTAGGTGGGTACTTTAGTATTCCGGCTCAGCGAACAGATAATGATGATGGTCCGCTGCAACTGTGCTCAGACAATCGTTTATTTTTAGCAGGCACTTATTTTAAGCATAAGGAGAAACATAGTCTAACATGGCGACCGCCTGCACCAAACCAACGATGGACTCAAATAGACCATATTGCCATCAGTCGTCGTTGGAGAGGGTCGATAGAAGACTACCACTCGTTCTGGAATACCTGCTTGGACTCCGACCATGCTCTAATACGGGCGCGCTACTGCTTGCGCCTCACTGGACGCAGAAAAGACACATTAAGAAGACCTATTGGAGTTGAACTCAACGATTAGAAGGTCAAAGGTACATTTCAGGAACAACTGAAGTCACACTTGGGCAATTTCGAAACCGAGGCTGACCCAGATGTTGCTTGGAAAGATATACAAACAGCAGTGACATCTGTTAGTGATTTAAACCAAAGAGCTACAAAAAATCAATGGATTTCTTCAAGGTCTATTGCACTGATGGATTCTCGTAAACTCATACCATCAGGCTCAGAACACGATGATGAGCGAAAGCGAATCAGATCTAGGTTAACCAAAGGTCTGAGGAACGACCGTGAACAGTGGTCGGCAACAAAAGCAAAAGAGGTGGAAAATACGGTGGCTATAGGTAACACAAGACAGCTCCTCAGACTCATGAAAGAAACTGGAACTAAAAAGTCAAGTGTAAGTGAGACTATCTCGCAAAAAGACGACACTCGTATCTGCTCCCAGTCCAGACGTTTAGAACGATGAGTAGAACACTTTAAGGAGCACTTCAGCTACTCCACAGTTACCCACCATTCACAAACAGCGTGAATGGAACACTGAAGCAGGCCCTCTGAATCTCATTCAAGTTCAAAAAGCCATAGATAATCTCAAACGAGGAAGAGCATATGGATTGGCTTCAGAGGTCTTTAAGGATGGTGTCTCAACTATGGCGATTAGGTTGACTAATATTTTAGCTAAAACTGGGAGTTGGACGTAATCCCATCCCATTATATAAGAAGGGGTCAAAATCATTCTGTGATAACCATAGAGGGATTAGTTTGACTAATATAGCATCTAAAATACTAGCCTTAATAATTATCGGGCGGTTAACAAAGACTCGTGAACTGCAAAAACGACAAAGTCAGGCTGGCTTCTGACCGGGTTATGGCTGCATCGACCACATATTCACCATTCCTCAGGTTCTAGAACATAGACATTCTTACCGGCATCCGACAGCGATAGTTTTTCGTGACTTGAATGCAACATTTGACTCTGTTGACCGAGAGGTTCTGTGGTAGTGACTCTCGTTGCAAAGTGTACCTCAGAAATACATAGGCCTCGTGAAGACTCTTGACTCGAACACTAGTCGTCGAGTCAGAGCTTATGGCGAACTGTTATCTGATTTAGCAGCCTCGAGTGGTGTTTGACAAGGCTGTCCACTATCTCCATTTTTGTTCAATTTCATCATAGACCTACTGCTGGAAATAACGCTTTCGTCATTTGAATTTTCAGGAATTGATCTCCTTCTAGGAGGTCCACTTATCGAACTAGAATACACAGATGACGCATTCCCGTTTGGTGAAGACGCTGATAAAATGCAGAGCCATTTGGTCGCACTGAGCAACAATGCCAGAATGTTTGGAATGCATTTCTACCCCTCTAAATACAAGTTGTTGCTTCACGACTCACCTTCGTCAACACCTGAACTAAGGATAGGGAGTGAAGTTGTCGAATACCTTGACAATTTCACTTATCTTGGGAGTCTGATCAACCTTAATGGGTTGGTGTCTGACGACATCTCTGCACGGATTTAGAAAGCTCGTTTGGCTTTTGCCAACTTACGTCACCTATGGCGAAGGCAAGATTTTCGTCTATCAATTAAGAGACGAATATACTGCGCGGCAGTTCGTTCTGTCTTACTTTACGGCTGCGAAGCATGGCCATTAAGAGTAGAAGATATTCGTAAGCTACTAGCATTTGATCACAGACATCTTCGAAATATTGCTCGCATCTGCCGGGATCACCGGGTAAGTAATAGTGAGGGTTAGGCGCAGGGTATTAGGGAATGATGGTAAATCAGTTGATGAGGTTGTGAATCCTCATCGACTGAGATAGTTGGGCCACGTGTTACGCATGCCTGAACACCGATTACCACGACGTGCAATGCTGACTAGTGTTGGAAACGGATGGAATAAAGTTAGGGGCAGCCAAACTAAAACGTGGCATCAGTCTTTGAAGTCACTAACTTCTTGTCGTAGCCATGTTGGTAGGTGCAGACTACTTGGTTGGGGTCCGTGTGACTATCGTGACCAGTGCTTGGAGAATCTGGGTGACATGGCTCAGAATCGATCACAATAGTGTTGGTGTACACGCTCCTTGTCTTCCCCTAAACTATGAGATTAAAATCGCTTCATATCTTTCTTTCTACGAAGTAACTCTCTATTTATGTACTATATTCTTACATAAACCCTTTCTTTTATATATTATTACCATCGAATTAACTGATTTTATGAATCCGGTGTTCGTCTTGCCGTGCTAATGAAGTATGGCAACTTGGACCGATGTATATATGTGCCTCGTCCTACGTTGTAACTGACCTAATTGTCGTTTATTTATCTAAATATAGTGATCATTGGTAATATGACTTCCTAGGTGACAAAGTGATATAAAAATACTGTAGATAGAAAACTGATATAAAGATACCCAGTATTTCAGAAGCATACTGTTGTTGTAGCTCTTTGACTAGACTCCGACATGGATGAATGTATGAAAATGCTACGAACATAAATCTTCCATTTAACTCCGTATATTAACTAGACTAACCTCGTTGGTGTGACGGTGATAAGAAAAAATTAAGTATGGGTTTTGTCTGAGGAATTTACTTCAAGCACTCGTTCATCGAGACACAAATTCAAAATAAGGAGTGAAGAGTAGAGCCAACTAGATCTGATTAAGCATGACTCGATATTTATAGTCAGACAAAAATAAATTACAGATACGTAATGAATAGAGTGAGCAATTACCTCACACGCCCATATAAAAACAATCAAGGTTAGTAAGCGAGGTCAGGATTTGACTTGAGAAGGATGAATAAACTAGTCTATCCGGAAGCTAGAATAACCCACGTGGGCTTGACATAGCACTAGACACTACACTATGAATAATGTAGTACAAGTGTCTACATTCAAGAGTCCTTACTATTTGAAAACTTCAGACTAATAAAGATAAATGTTATGATATCATATTATTAATCTAGAATTTTTAAGGTGCCTGAAACATGATAACTTTTTAATAAGACTGTTTGTTTAGCGCCACACAGATCTTTGTAGCAAGAAAGTGAAGCATTTGTGTTTAGGTTTATAAAATTGCAATTACTGAGGAAAAACGAAAAGATATTGAGGTTATAAAACGTACTTTCATGAATGATCTTCCGCCAAATTTCTTCACGTGTTTCTTCGATCCTCCACGGGAGACGTATACTGTACATAGAAGACCGAACTACGTAATGATAAGATAATAATGTTTTTGGAGGAAACTTTAATTCCCTCCAAAGAAACAGAAGAGCGCGATGGTAGCTGTCCAAAAATGAAGATAATTTTGTACACAGAGCTCTGTGCATTAATTCATTGTTGCTGAAATTGCAAATCAAATCTATCGGTATACGATGGGAGTAGCCAAATGAATGATGAGAAATCTGTAGAGTTGGAGTGTGATCACAAGTGTTATTATCAAGACTGAAAAATACTATGAGTGCTGCCAAATTTATGTTGTCTTTTAGCTTCCTAAAGGAGTCAATCATTTTAGAGGAATGCTCTCTGGTCGAATTTGCTGACAAGCATACAGAATTATGAACAAAAACAGCCGAAGTAAGCATGATTTTCAGTTTTAGAAAGCATGAAGATAAAGATTCCTCTGTAGAAAACCTTATGCATATCGGTTTCTGACTGAATATTCTAAGCAGTAAATGTTCTGAACTACCAGATAGTTCACCAACAGACTCACACAACTCCATATGTTCCAGAATGGAGAATATGAAACTATTCACCCGTTAAATCCCGATTGCATTGTCGCCGTTAAAACTCCATACTTCCAACAGAAAACAAAATAAAGTAAACTGGTTCTAATTTATTGCACTCTGAAGAAATAATATGTGCTTAGATCTAACCTGCAGTAGAGAAAGTACATTAGTGTACTCAACCAAAGTTCAAATTAAATGTATACTTATTGCCAATACTGAAATACGATATTAACAAATCACCCGAACTTTCGAGTTGATAATGGAATGACTTGGAAGTTAGTTAGGTTTCATAACTGTTAGTTGGAACCGTGGTTGTTTGACGTTTTGTTTTTCGAAACTTTCCACTTGATACCACACACTGCTGAGCCCCAAAATGCCCTGGTATGGCCGAGGTTGGGGAGATTCAGCTCTTCCTCTAGAAATGCTCTCACATGGCCACATACATACAACCACTGCCAGGGAAGTCCTACTCACAGCCTTCTCGCGGCGGGGGTGTTGTTTACGAAATTGAGAGGACGAAAAGCGAATATCCGACGTTTTACCCGGGTTGGCGGACACGGAGAGTCCACATAGGGGAGTTGAAAAACCCTCATTCCAAACCAACGGTGTACATGGGTTCAAGGATCCTGAAGGAAAAAAATGGCGTACGAACCTAATGTTGGTCACCGACTACAATGGGAATGCATTTCCTGACGTTGCTCCACTGCCTTGTGGATCAGACCTTTAGGTCGAAGGTTTGGGGTGTGGCCCCCTAAGAAAACCACCTGCTTCGGTTTGGGCACCTGGGCAGTATCCCAGTCCTCACACAAATCGAATGATTTATGTGACGAATATCTATTTGGTGCCTCCTTGTACCAATGTTCATGTGTTTAAATAACTAAATATATAAACATGCTGTTGTAAAATTAAACCACTTAAAATATGAAAAGTTTATAGTAATAATTATTACGAGAGAACATCATGACACAGAATGGGGTTGCATAGAGATGCTTATTAGATTAATTAAGGCCTACACTAACTAGTGTTTGTACTAGGTGTTAAGTTGAGCATCCATTCACATAAAAACTACTTTTAAAACAAGGGGAATGAATACCAAGATAATGAAGTGAAGAGATAATTAGGGGAATACATGGAACCATGAGACACTTATGTAGAGTACGCCAAAACAAACATGATTAAAATGTTGTCAAACTTATAGGGGAAACCTATAAAGATGAGATTTGAGGACCTAGGAGACGATTCTTACAGTCCACATAAAGAGATACTATAGGAAAATATTTATTTGTCATCACCAACATATTACCAGAATGAGTGCAACCCATTTTGTCCAAGCTGGACAGGAAAGAATAGATTTGGGCGAGATGCTTCTGTATTTCGGTCACGAAGAAAATGTTCAACACAATCTGAAAGGTACTCTGATGCTGTTCACAGAAGCATTTAAAACACTTATAGGATAGGAAGCTCATGGACCCAGAAACATTAAAGCATCATCCAAAACCATGGGGGGAATCACAAGGAATGTTATCCAATGTTATGCACCAACCAATGACAGCAACGACGATAAAGATCAGATTTAGGAGAGGCTGCAATCAATTATAGCGAAGTGCTCAAGAAAAGACCTGACCATCCGGATGGTAGACTTAAACGCCCAAGTCGGGATGGACAACATCAGGTATGAAAATATCATGGGACGAAATGGATTGGGGGAAGGGAACGAGAATGGTGACAGACAGTATAGGTGCATCCAACAAAATGGTTATAGGCGACACAATATCACCCCACAAACACATACACAAAACCACATAAATCTCACCGGATCACACTACCCGGAACCAGATCGATTATGTATGCATAACTAAGAAATCCAGGTCAATGACATACTGAAAAACTCACAACAGCTCTCAGCAAAAGGTTCCAAGCCTTACAAAACCTACTGAAAACAAGAAACTGCGATGAAGGACAACTGGTAAGGAGCACTAACTTCAACGTGTCAGGAAGTACTGGGTCGCAAGAAGCATCATCATAAGGAATGGATCTCCATCGAAACCCTTGGTAGCACTCGGGAAAAGAATAAAATGAAGACAACAGTTGACAACAGCCAAACAAGAACGAAGAAATCTAAGGCACAGTCCGAACACACAGAAGTAAACACACGAATGAAGAAGAGCATTGGAGGCGACAAATAGAAATATGTGGAGGACCTAACAACGACAGGAGAAAAAGCTGCAACAGAAGGATAGATCAGACAACTATATGACAAAACGAAGAAACTAGCGGGGAAATTTTGTTTATCTTTACGTATCTGAGCAGCATCATTGACGAGCAAAGTGGATCTGATGCAGATGTTAAGGCTCCGATCGGTAAAGCAAGAGCAGTATATATACAATCGAAGAACATCTGTAACTCTAAACAACTATCAACCAACACTAAAGTCAGAACTTTCAATGCAAATGTCAATACGGTTCTACTGTATGAGGCGGAAACTCGAAGAACTACGAAAGCCATCATCCAGAAAATACAGTTGTTTATTAACACTTGTCTACGCAAAATACTTCGGATCCGTTGGTCAGACATTATCAGCAACAACGTACTATGGGAGAGAACAAACCAGATCCCAGCGAAGGGGGAAATCAGAAATAGGCACTGGAAGTGGATAGGACACACCTTGAGGAAAGGACCCAACTACATCACAAGGCAAGCCCTCACATGTAATCCTCAAATCCAAAGGAGAGAGGAAGATCAAAGAACAGTTTACGCCAAGAAACAGAGACAGGCATGGGAAGAATGAACAACAATTGGATAGAACTAGAAAGGAAGACCCAGGACAGAGTGTGTTAGAGAATATTGGTCGGCGACTTATGCTCCGTTGGGGGTAACAGGCGTAAGTAAGATCAGTCAAGGAAAACGAAGGCGAGACAATCACTGAGATTCGAGAACAGAGGAACAGATGGGTAGAACACTTTTAAGAACTCTTGAATAGACCAGCTCCATTGAATCCACCGGACATCGAAGCAGCACACACAGGCCTTCCTAAAGATTTCACTCCACCAGTGATCAAAGAAATCAAGATGGCCATCAGACAAATGAAGAGTGGGAAAGCAGCAGGACCTGACGATATACCAGCTGAAGCAACGAAGTCAGGCATAGAAGTAGCTGCAAGTATGCTTCACGTTTTATTCAGGAAGATGTGGGAGGATGAACAAATGCCGACAAACTGGAAAGGCGGATATCTCATCAAGATTCCAAAGAAAAGAGCTCTGAGCAAATGTGAGAACTACAGAGGAACCACACTACTATCGGTACCAGAAGACGTTTTCAACGGTGTTGTTGAACCGAGTGAAAGATTCAGTAGACGTCTAGCTTCGAGATCAATAGGCCAGATTTCTTAAGGATCGGTCGTATACAGACAAAATCGCAACACTACGGATTATCGTTGAACAATCAAATGAATGGAACTCGTCACTATACTTCAACTATATTGACTGTGAGTAGAAATTCGACAGTGTGGATGGGAGAACATTATGGGACCTTCTTCGACACTATGGAGTATCTGGGAAAATCGTCAACATCGTCAGGAATTCATACGACAGACTACACTGCAAATTCGAGCATAGAGAACAGTTGACAGATGATCTCCAAACAAAACTGCTTACTAAGGTAATAAGAACTAACACGACTTTTACTTTTTTTTCAGTATATGATCATCCCAATCTCCCTATTAATGGGTTTTCTCCATAGTTGTGAAAAGTTTGGTGGTCTTACCCAAAGTTGGGGGAAAATTAGGGCAAAAACCCGTATAACAGGGTTCTCAAAAAATATTATGGAAAACACAAACCTTCCACTGGAAATTTGAGGATTTTCTAGGGAAACTTTGTGCCGTTTACTTGAAGTTTTCTGTTGCGGTTTCCCAAATATAGGGAGATTGGGATTAGTGGATTGGCGATGTTATAACTTATACGCGACTCTTGAGCAACTTAAACTAACTTCAAGAGTTTCTTTCTGCTTACTAAAGTTGAATGAAGGTTTCAAACTGATGTGAGGAACTGGGATAAAAGTAGGTAGTTGTACGTTAAGGTTAAGCATTAGATCTAGGGTTATTATCAGGTACTGATATAAGCCACTCTGCCAGAATGCAGTGAATGCTTATGGATAAATGCGTTCACTGTCCAAATACATGACGTCCAAAATCTGATTATTTTAACCACATTTAATAGTAATGTAAGCACGTCGGAATCTGTACCGCAAACTTTTGAAAGCAGATGGTCCAAAGGTTCAAATGGTTGTGAATGGGATGGCAGAAGCTCTCGCTTAACAGGCTTCCGTGTCTAGTAGCAGGGGATCTTTAACTCCTCCAGACAGGAACCTAGGTATGTTAACAATAAAACAGGAAAAGAAAGTAATAAATCATAGTTCGATACTATCCCTAGTCCTTAAGAATAGATCAAGTTGCCTCTTAAAGGACTACTGGGAAGTCGCTTGGACTAGTTCAGTCGGCATCGAATTCCGGCATTTGACACTTTTTAAGTAATATGAGTTGTGTCTACGATCCGTTCTGCTATGTTGTATCTCCGATTTCTTACACCTTAGGTTTGAATTGGGACTGAGCTTAAGTAGGTGTTTAAGGGGATATCCAGAAGTGTTAAGGATATTGTAAGCCATCAGAAGGTCACCTCTAAGATGCTTATACTCTGATTGGTAAAGGTTAGGTGATTGGAGGCGTTCTTCACAAGCTTTGAAATTGAGTCCACGAACTGATTTCGTGGCTCGCCTTTGAATACGTTCAAGTGTCCTTATCCTTTTGCAGTGAGGGTACTATATATATATATATATATATATATATATATATATATATATATATATATATATATACGTTTTGAATTGTGTTTGTTGTCATCGCTCGTTTCTGGCTGTTTGCAGAGTATACTTCCACATTACAACCTTGGACTTCTTCCTATAGTTTGCGAGGCTTGGACGCGTAAAATAGCTAGCTTACTGGTCTTTGGTCACCGAGTCTTTGTTCTCGTTCGCTGATTAAGTGAACTCGTGATAGCTTCAACCCCGGCAAATCCAAAAAATGTTTTTCTCCTGCTTTCTAGTGTCATATTTCAGTTCCATTCCCACTTTCACTGAGAAGAATTTAACTTATCTTTACCAAACTCAATGAATTCGATAGTACATTTTGGTTTAGTGTTTCTTGAGTATGAATGAGTGCGTCCATACTAGAATTGTGTGGCTCGCTCGACTGGCTAGACACTGCTGTCAAAGAATTTGAACTACAGCAAAACGTTTGAGGATAACGGATGGTTGGTGACGAAAGGAAAAGTGAGAACAGATTGGTAAATGGCATTGGTGTTGATAGTGCTGGCAGTAACTGAAAGTCACGAGACTAGCATCAGGTTCAGCTGTTCCTGAAGAAGGACGGTAAACTGCGGGTGCATGCGCGGTTGCTGTGCTTCCTCCTCAATCTGTGTACACGTTGATTCGGATAACATTTTTAGTAAGTTGGTCCTTATTGTAAACACGTGTTCTCACAATGGCATTGGAATATTGTCAGCAATTCGTTAAGAGTAGCCTTGTGATATCCGATTAAAATGTTGGGTGGTGGTGTGAAGCAGATTGTCTTGCATGATGAACATCATTATCATGTCGACCTTTATTATTCTGCAACATAAATAGTTTAGTTCCAGTTAACGCATACAATTGACAATTATTTGATTTCCTAATTCAGTAAGCCTGCCTTCTTACTTGTTGTGAGAGATCTCCGTCCAATCATTATCACTTGTGTTATCTGTATTATGCCCCTCGCTATTATTTTCGAGGCCCCATTTCATTACATTGTGATAAGACATTAGTTCTAAAAACTTTTAACTGTATTGCTCGTTATTTTTTACCATGGGAACCTTTAACAGTAATGTAAGAGCTTTAGTATCGAGGTATTTTATGTTTAATGAGAGGGATGTCTTACACTACAGAAAATGACACAGTACTTCATAACTGAATAAACGGTTCTATTTTTCAACCATTTACCAGGCATATTAAGTAAATTCATTTTTAGGAGGTGTCAGCTCTTTCTATTGGGTTACTTTGAATTTTTCGAGATTATTGGTCATTATTAAATGGTACAACGTACAATCGAGTAACCGTGTTATTGTGCAGTTTGGCTACTACCATTGACTCCAAGTAATTCAAAGAATATTTGTAACCGATATAAAAAGACGTACTGGTTTGTTTCAACAAAGTAGATGTTGGTTGAGTTGTGTCGTTGTCTGTACTAGCGTCGAAGTATTGGATTTTTAGTCGTTTCTCTTGTATTGTTAGAAAACGTGCATATTGAGAATTAAATTCACGGTTGTCCGTACAACGTTACTCACTGTCTTCGCTAAAAGTGAATCTTTTCAAGCACTATGTCTCTGCACATTAGTTGATTGTTAGACAGAATCATAGTGAGGAATTCAGCGATTTCAAGGTTAGTGACGGTTTAGCTGCATAGCACGCCATTTTGTGGCAGAGAAACTATTAGAATATTAGTTAGGATATAATTGCATAAATCACACCCAAACTTATGTTTCGATACGGTTGGCTATTATAGAGACTCAAAGAAGTCTCAAAACACCATATTGCATACTTATTCTCCCGCGTTTACCAGTGTTAGTAATTCACGTAATTGAACATATTTGAAGGTACTACTTTATTTTCTGTTAGATACAAGCTATTATGATGACATAAATGTAGAGTATACAAGAAATATCTTTTAACATAGGGGGAAATAAGTTAGTTCAAAGCAAACATTTGTGATTCACATAAACATTTCACTCGTAATCGTCGATTCAATCAAAGGCTTTAATATTCCGATGAGCGATGCAAGGATTAGTTATGATATTCGACTTGCAGGATAACTCGTGGATCATACATTTTCTTCAGTGATTATGGACCTAAACACCTACACGTCCAGGCTGACAAACGTATTGCGTTCTGTTAAACCTGTTTTCACTTGACCGCAATCAACTGAGTTTCGTGTTCTACCTTCACTTCGATATGATACACTAGTCTTTAAACGTCGCGACTTACTTCGAAGACCTCTGGAAACAGCATGTGTTGAACTCTTCATAGTTCTTCAGTGTGAGCTTAAGTGCTGTATACTCGATAAGAACTGATCTAACGACTAATCCAGCGCTGATCCCCTTGCGTCTGCGTATTCAGGAGGAAACCAAATTCATGTCAATTTTTCTTCTGTACAATTGGAAAGCACAAGTCATGTAATTATCATGCTTCATCTGATAATCAACAATCGCGATGACACTCGTTGACATCTGACAACTGACTCAAAATTAATGCGTTCAGGAAGAAGAGTAAAGTTTCTACATCACCCAAGCGAATACTTAAAGTAAGACACCACATAAGATTTTGTTTCAACTTGATTTTTTTGTACTTTGTCGAAGAACGAAATAAATCATTTTTAAAATGCTCATATATATCACGACAGGGTACTCCGTGCCTCGCATATCCTATAACCGCTAGCAAGCTTAGATTAGTCGCTTTTCCTTATATTGATAACCTATCAGATATATGTCTTTGCTTGTGACTACTTATTTGACTGAGTTTGTATATCTCAACTATAAAAGTTGTTACTGGTTATGTCTTTGTCAAACTCCGAATACTCTAGTCATCATTAGACTTGCTGCTTGAATCATATTTTCTAAATACAGACTCTCAAAAATTGTGTATAATAAACTAAACATTTTTTCGCTCAAATACTGAAATGGTTAACGAATAGCCTATAAGATCCTGGAGCCTTCAGCAGAGTCAACCTTGCAGATGTCACTACACAAGTTGTCTCCTATCACAGAAAAATTCGCCTACCAAGTTTATCGACTTAAAAATTCTCCGATCCTAATTCGAGACTTATATAAGAGAGCTTATCAAAGCTATTATTTAGGTCTATGAAATTACATCTACCGAAACGTTACTATTTTTCGTTCTCGATCGATCTTCTGACGGTAGGATTACGTTTTTCAGGTATGATTGTCCCGTCGCAAAGCCTGTCTTCTGGCTAAAAGATGACTCTACTCCACATATTTTCAAATCGCCAGCCGAATAATCTTTTTCACTCATCTGTAAACTAGACTTGTTCGGCTAACTAGTCGATAGCAGTTGACTAAGTCTCCATAATCGGCTGATAATTGCATCTTTCTAGTCTCCTGGCAGCTCAGATTACCACTGTGGTTTGAAATGTCTGACTAATTGCAAGACAGATCCTTCTCCAATAATCACTGGATCAGTACTGTTTGTTACGGGAGAACTGACGACATTTGGCTGATCAAAACTTTTATGTTAAATATCATTAATTTCACTGTGTTTTTTGAATGTATTTGTTTTACTCAACCTTTGAAGTTGTTTGTTTAAATCATCATTTTCGGACATTTTGATTACTTTTTGTCTTTGGTTTGGGATTTTTTGCTCCGAGAACCTACAAAATTGAAGTTTTGTACTTTTTGTAATTATTGATGTTAGGGCGACATCTGGGTAGACTATTTGTAAATTGCGAATAAACTTTGCTATCTAAATTGTAGTTTGGTCCTATTCATAATTTGGGTTCGTAATTTGCAAATAGATGGGTATACCGTACTTCAATAAAGGGAACGAGGAAAAACTTGGACGTAATACTGTCCAGAACCTGTAGAGATAAACATACTATAAAGTCTTTCTTGACTCGTTTAGTTATCTGTGGCGGACAGTTATTTGGCATACATATTAGTATGCATGGTGTAAACGGGAACGTAACTATGGTAAATGCACCTTCGAATAACGACCACGCCTCTTCAATTAGTGAGCTAGTATTTACTGATCAGTCCATTGTTGCTGCACACTCCCGTATGACTGTTATGTTTGCTCTCCACACATTTGGGTGAGATTTAACCCAACGTTCATTATGTCACAAGCTGTTGATATGGATAACTAAACAATATTTGCGGTTGCGTGAGTGATTACAAGGTCAAACAAAGAATACCTTAATTTGAACCAAAACATGTGGGTTCGGATACGTGCCATACTAAAACACGCTCCATTACAGTCATCAGGAGACTACAGTCAAGAAATTTTTTAGATCTTATGGTGGTCATCTCTGTTCAACTAGTATGAAGTGCATTGAAGTCTCGTAATATCAGGCATCTGTTATTAACGCTTTTTCGTGAATGTAGCTAACCCTCGTTCAATTTATAGAGTAAACTATACTAGTAGTGAATAAGTGTTTATTTCGCTCGTGAGACAGTACACAGTGGAGCGGTAGGTTACCTGTTCAAACAGATAGTTTTCAACATTCAACATAAGACAATAAAAATATATTGCCTATGTAAAATAAGAGCGTGAATGAACAATTGAGCTCTATTGTTATGAAATATACTTAGTTGTTTGAAGTCAACTCTTAACCAAACAACCTGAGTTGTTACATTAGCTTCCTCCTAGAAAGGACTTCCGTAGGAACGTCCTCTATTACTCCAAGTTAATGGAAATTATTTAATGAACTACGAGCATTTGTATATGACTCCCTAAGAGAAGCATCTATTCATCCAAGCATTGGTGGCATTCTTTTACCAGACCTAACCATACAAAAATATGTAATATTTTTGGTTCCTAACCACATAGTCTTTGAAGCTGAGCGTTAAATGACTGATATTTATATTTAACATGTAACACTAAGGGTAGATAAATAGTGGTGGACGCAACAATAAAGAATCTAAATGGTATGGCTTGGTTGTGCAGGCGCCTTCACTCTTTATAATCTCTTACTATTTGAGTCAAATATTTTCTTTTCCAAGCCCTATTGTGTTCTTCTGAAGAGCCAGACCTCAGATTAATGATCGCAACGTAGAATAATTCAGAATAAGCAGTCATTTGACTTCGACGCTAGATATTATATATAATGTTTTAGCATAATGACAAATCTATAGTTTCATGATTAACTCTATTATTATAGCAATACTAATGCTGTGAAAAAGAACACAAGTGGGGAAAATCGAATGTATTTCAATGCAAAATTACAGAACATTCTTGTAAAACCTGAGAATCATACAGTTAATACTTATTTTGCATAACGTCAATCAATTGCTTCAAACCTGACTGTTCCCTCTGTAAATGTCAGTCAATCGACTTAGATTTCACTGTCCCTTAATTTCCACAGCAACCATTCATTGTTCTCGTTTCTTCGATCTTCTACCAGATCTTTCTCTTCCGACTGATGTTACGTAGTCCTTATATCTGTCGACATCACTAGCATGCATCACATTAATAACAATCTATAACATAATACTACACTGTTAAACCCGTGTCATATAATTGTCAGGGCATTTTGGCATACTAAAACCGAACTAGACCACAATCCTAGAAACCCACTAAGCGGAGATCCACTTAACCATGTAGCGATATTCGAGTCAACTGTAGAGCAAAATAAAGACCCCAAATCAATAGCTCTGTACGTCTTTGACGTTTGATGCTGTCCACATTAGATTTAATGGACTCACCTAGCCGAAGGCGCTCGGTAATGCATTCTCACCAGATCAGAGTGGGAACTTCGTGCTCAACATCCCCTGCAGTCGCTAGCTAGTCTAGATCAGTCAATTATCAATATATTGATAGCCTATCAAATATACCTTCGGACCACCTTGCTTCTAACTTTCGATTTCACTTGGTGGGTACGATTCATATTAGCGGGTGTCACTAGTTAAAGCGTTGTCAAACTCCAAATACCTGTGGCATCTTCAACCATTTTGCAGACTCGTGTCAAGTCCGGCTAGTGCCGTTCTCATTTTTATTGTTTTCTAGATACACGTAACGTCCCACTACAATATACGTGTTTTTGTGACTTTGACACTAGTTGACGAAAGATTTCGTCGTTGCCACGACCCTTGGAGTACCCAAAGGCGTCTACATGATCGCTGCTCAACATTTTTATCAGTTTATCTTACCTATTCTTAAAATAATATTCTATGAGATAAAGCTTTTCTCAGCCGCGTTAGGGTTTAGTCTATCCTTACTTTGAGAAAGTAGCGATGTATTCGGTGATTCAGAATCCGAGTCTAGAAAGAAATTTAAACCAGTCGTGTGTTATTTGCGACCCTTTTCCTATTCTACGCTTTTGTCTACTTCACATCATCCAGAACAACCAAATTGCGATTATTCTTAGCGGTGTATAATGGAAGACAATTGTTGACGATGGAAAATAAAGTGACACAACAAATAAGTGATAAATTAAGTACAAGCAAATACAGAGTTGACTGAGGTAGAAAAGAATAGGGAGCTTGATGATAAAAATAGAATGTGCAGCAATGACAGTAATTACATACCAATCGAGGGAAATGCTTTGTGTTTGACTAAACTCAATGTCACGGCGTTTTTAGTGTGACTATTAACCGTTGACTGTCACCTTAGAAAGATTGCTGGGAACCCTGCAGATAGATATCTGATCCCATCCTGTTAAGAATATATTTACTCATTCTCAGGTTTTGAAACCTTGTGTATTAAATATTTCTTCTGTTGTTTATCACGCTGATTTGTGCTAAAGAAACCCAATGCTGTATCGCACAGACTGCACCGTTTGTGGTGTTTTGTATTTTTGATATAATTTGTTTACTTTAACTAGAGCCGCATAAATCTTGTTTTGTTACAAATTAATATGTGTAACTAATAAAAGCGCATCGTACGCTATACAGAGGAACGTAGTTTGGTCTAATCGAATAAATTTTGGCCCATTAGTTTTGTGTTCAGACCGAATATTGACATTTCTGTCGTTACCTGCGTCAGCTGGAAGTAATTGCGTGAACGTTCTTTCCCATTGCCAGGTATAATTAGTGGCTATTACGATCAAGAGACAAACACTGAGTGCAAACATGGCAGTTTACTTGGTTTTTGAAACAATCAACCGAGAGAGCTGTACTCACCTCGTCCTGAAAAGCATCTCAGCCAAGATTGACAAATCGTCTAAAGTGTATGCGAACTTATTTCGGTTTCTCTTGCCTGTGTGTTGTTTGTGGCATTTTTCCTGTTCCACGCCGTCGTCCACTTTACGATATTCGGGACATTCACATTCAGACTTCTCATGGAGATGACAGTTTTAACTAGGTCTTTAGGTACTATTTTAGAATCATGACCACTAATATTTAGTGACACTATATTATATTTACCGAGCATATCTATATACGTCTGACGGCTTGCTCTGTTTCTGTTACATTTCTTGTTATAGATACATAAGTTTTAAAAAAGACACAATACCAATCATAGTACGCTACTGGCCTTACCACAAGGTGATGTTCGAAACCTGGTAATCCAAAAATTTGAATGTTTGGACGACTACGAGCTTGATGTTGAACTTAATGATCCTGGTCTCTCACGTGACTGAAGTTTAAGAAATCTCTAAAATCAAAAATGTGGGACTTCATTCTTACGCCATCAACAATTCTATACCTGAGCTGTTACGAATTTATTGCAGAAATCGTAGATATGTTGTGGGATTTAAACGTGTCTAGGCTCACCACAGGGAGAAATATTTTGACTGTCCACATTTTTAAGAACAGTGAGCAATTTAATCAGGTGTATAGAGAAAAATTAACAAAACTACACAAGATAATCATTAATGTTAAGATAAACTAAAAACCATTGTCACAAAACATATTTGAAGTGGATTCCAAGCTCTAAAAGAAATAATTAAGTTAAAGTAGAGCAAGTGTACTTTCAAAGCAATAAACACACAAAAGCAAGATTAATTCAAGTGTAAATACAGTCTTTTCTTCAGATTGCGTGTGAGCAAAAAGGCTTAGATACAGTACTACGCTGAAGGGTGCCGACCATTGTGCGTATATGATGCTAAAAATAAGTATAATATCAAAATATGGAAGATGAGGGTGTTCTTTGTGGAAGAACCTGAAGATGAAACTCTTCAATCGGCAAGACTATAATTTATTGTCAAGCTAATCAGGTATAATATAACACCCAACCATTTGACTAGGTAGAGTCTTAACATAATAGCTGATGTCAGTTCGTGATGAGAACCTTAAATCTAATTCCTAACATTAGCTATCAACTGTTAATCATAATTGGGATTCCTCACACTAATTTATAGCCCTCTTTTGGTCTAAGTTATCAGGTGTACACTCCCAAAGTTAGTCTGGCGTCGCTCAAAGGTCGTCCATAAATTATAGACTATAGTTTATGGACGACCTTTGAGTGTCCACCTAATAACTAGGATCAAATGAGGGCTATAAACCTGTGTGAGGAATTAGAATTGTGACTTACGGTTGGCGGTTAAAATCAGGAATTAGACTTGGGGTTTTCATCACGAACTGACATCAACTATGATGCCAAAACTCTATTTAACCAAATGGATGAGTGGATTTCGCGCCAAAACCTGTTATCTTATACCTGACTGGTTAGTCTCTAACTTATAGTCTCGCCTAATAATTATTCTGTGACAGCAGTTGTGGCTCATTAATGTTCAAAATAAAATTGTATTCTGCATGCACATTCATCTCGGTTTTAGCAAGTAGGTTTATGTATGGTATTCTAAAACTGAAAAAGAAAAGACAATTAGCCATCCAAGACAAGTACTTTGATAGGATGTCGTATGTTTCGTCGTACTATAATTACAATTTCCATTTATCTGTTCCATATAAAAATCTAGTCACCAGTCTTGCATCATTTGCAGTTTTCTTTAGCTTTTCGACGTTTGGTTGAACCGACGATAAGATCACATGGTGACATGTGTCCCTGATCCTAGAAAATCACTGTTCTGTAACAAATGCACCCACTTAACCCCAAAATAAGACTATGAAGATACATGTCAAATCCACTGATCATTGCAACCAAGTGAGTAGAATAACTTCACTAGACAGCCCTTGAGATCTGGGGCCATTTTTCAAAATGAAGGAGAGAAGTTACAGAAACCAGTTAGTTTACGATATTGAACAACAGACACTACTGGATGCCTAACCTAGCACAGATTTTAGGAATGATAGAAAAATATAGAGAGTGAACCAATATAGATAGCTTACTAAGTAGGAATTCAATAAACTCTACCAAAACGAAAAGTTAATAAATCCGTATTCGAAAGTAAATAATGTGTATTAAAAAAACAACAGAATAAACATAATAGATAAATTAATGAAAATTAGGAAAGTAAATGCATCTCACGGTATTATTGTGAATTATATTAAAATTCTGAGCACATAGAGAATCCACACAAAAAATGGGATAAAACTGAACAGACAACCGATGATAACGAATATTATAGATTGAACTTAGTGGTCCATGACCTAAAATGTATAGAAAAATAAAATACCAAATTTTTATGTTAAAATATGAGGTAAATAAGAAGTGACCGTCGTAGAATAACGGTTATTATAAAATACATAAAGTAATATTCATTTGTAAAATGAACTAATCCAGTAACACCAATTAATGTATTCTGCAAGAATGATAGCTGTTATCAGGGTCTTTATTTTCCCTTTGACCTTACTGAAGCTTTCTTATTCAGCTAGCGAAAAAGCTGAAAGAGGTTGGAAAAAAGCACATTTCCATCAATATGGTAGTTACAATTTCAAACATATATACATTCATATATACTAATTGATGTGTTTTTTCTCTCAGATTTTCGCTTTCCCCATGAGCATATTCTAAACAGATATCGAAGTTGTATAACCTATCTCGACATCGAAATGTAATACTGAGAATGCAGTTTTGTGCGATTAAGGATTTCTACAAGAATGGCATCAATAAAGTATACTAGGAAATCAATTGACTTCCTAAGTACAATTTCAAAATTCACACATCACTATCAGACAGATGAACATAATAAAAATCAAGAATTGTAAAAATTCTAAACACTGAAAACTGTTGTTATTTAAGTGAGAACAAATAAGTTTTGTTCAACAACAGAATACACAATGTATTTTATACTAAACATCCATCCGCTATTTTCTGTAATTAAAACCCTATTCAGAGTTTACAAAACCTGGTATTATGTCATTTTTAGTTTTGTGTAAAAAGTATCTAATACTACAAAGACAGGAATATTTAGAGCAGAATCCTCAGGTTTATGAACAACAACTCAAAACTTATTTAGTATTGGTTTAACTGTATGTGATTGTCATAAACTGCCCAAAAGAATGAATACATGAAGTCTTTGAAATATATTCTTTCATTCTGATATTTTATAAAACTTAAGAGCTAAACATCCATTGATTCTGAGGTTGATCTGCTTGGTTTTATGCATTTTTCATTACACAATGAATTTACTGTTCTTTTTATAACTATAAAGACGTTGCAAACATAAATTAATTCTATATTATGTTATGACGTATCAGTCAGTCAGTCAGTAACAACGTAGAACTTCGTACGTACATACATCAGTTCGAGTTGCCACACCACACTAGCACAGAGATGCAGTTGTCGATTCAAATCCCGTAGTGGTAGAGGTAGTAAGAGTATAAGCAGTAATCGGGAAGATTAGGGTTTGGAGATGTTATTTAAAGAGTATAATTCAGTGAAATAAATTTGGAAAGAGGAAAAAAGGGACATGAAGAATTCAGAAGATTAGAATTTGGGAGAACACAAAGAGTGGATGCACCTGCGCCATTGCAAACGATTTTGGGCCATGTCATTCAGGGTCTCTAACCATCGGTTGCTATCATCTCGTGGTCCCCAACCAGGTAGTCTACACCTAGTTATGACGTATATACATATGTTTATAAAAATCTTAAACATCCAACATTCCAGAGCACTTATGGGGTTTTAAAACTTGAGAAAATACACGATATAAACGTTTAGAAGTAGCAACTATTGGAATTTCACTAGCACATAAGTGACGTTCTCCAATGAAAACCACTACTTATAGTCATGACAGTCAGTGCTTTATTTCCGAAGCTATTGTTTCACATCGTAAACTTGCCGCTAATCTTAATATTATGTAATTGACCGAAATATCTTGGAGCACGTGTGATAACAAATATTGACTCATCAGAGTGTGAAATCAAAAACCACTTGGATGTTATGAATGCAATAATTGGCGGACAGGTGTTTTGATTTTCTGTAGTGCCTAGGTTGACAAATGAACAACTAAACCGTCCGATTATTGAGAAAGTACAATCCAAATTACATATGGATTCGCAGTTTTTTGATTCACTAAGATTACGCAACCAATATACGGTTTGTAGGTTCAAAGATTAAAACGGTATTCATAAAGAATAAAAAAGTTTGGAATTACCTTAAGTTTACTTGTTTGAAAGGATGCAGCTGAAGATATTACAGTTGTGGAGGACGGCTCATTTTCCTCGACGCAAACTTTGTATCCATCAAACAAAAAGCAATTATCAGGTACATCCATTTTTAAAGGTGAAGAAATGAGTGATTTTGAAGAATATACAGCCGGAGATGGTTGAATAGATGCAAGCTTTTTAGCTACGCATAAACTAGTTGACCTTGTGACTGGTGAACATTTTATAGATTGACGATTTGCAACGTTGTTGATTATACGGTGTAAGTTTGCAGATTCGTAACTTTTGCGCTGAGTTGATATGTTGGGGTTTTTAGGACATTTTTTATTATTATGATCGGAGTTAGATGTCCCTAGATTACTTTGTAACGTACGTGGCACAGGTAAACTCTGCATATTGTATGGACTGGCGAACCATTCTGTATTAGGATCTCCAGTCGCTGAGCAGTCTTTTGTTCGACAGAAAGTAACAAACTAAAGATTGTTAGTGTAGTATGATGAAGTTTACAAAATGAAAAAATACTTTGAGTATTATACAAATATAGTTACATAGAAATGACACTTACATACCGATTACTAGTATTCCGTCTATAAAACCGATACTGTGGACCGTTCATGATTAGCATATTTCCATTCAACAAGCACTCAAAACGAAAATTAACGTACTTCTGAGACAAAAGGATTACTGGTAATCAAGAGTATGAGGAAGCGAAAAATTAACTGAAGTCTAATTTAAGTCATAACCTACAAAGTCCTGTAGTGTTATTATCCTTTTATAAAATGGAACTTCGAAAGCAATCGAAACTGACCAGTGCTAAGGAGTCAGCCAGGAGAATATATATATATATATATATATATAAACGAGGAAAAGTGGCGTAAATCGACGATTAGAGGTCGATCATATGCAGTTGACTGAATATCCACAAGCAGAAAATGTTGTACCCATCACTTTAAAATGTTTATAATCTTTGGTAGACAGCATCAAAAGGCATAACGACTTAACAAGTTACTGGTACCAAACATTTTAGTTTACTAGATGTGAACATTGAATGTCGATAATAGAACAGGCCGAATAGCCTTGTTTGTCAATGTAGTAAAATGGTGCAACCAAGTTACTGAAGAGATTTTTCTACGATAAACTTTAAATAAAACACATTATCTACTCACTCAACCAAGGTGGATATGAAGCGGTTGAGGTACCTAGATCGAAGTATGTGTAGCTTTCGATCCTTTAACTTACAAGGTGCTTGTAGAGTGTTTATGTCGTTGCGTCAGAGAGATGCAGGATAGAATTAGCTAAAACAATGAGCTACATAAAAGATGTTTTTATTATGAGAATATGTATTTAATAAGTGCTGAAAGTTGATATGGAGGGTAACAATCGCTCTCGACTAGCGAAATTCAGACAGGTGAGCCAATTATCACTTGTGATAATTATTCTAGGCATATCGAAGGGAGGTAAAATGTTAAGAACGTACAGACAGCCTGGCGGTCAAAAAGTTACATGTGGTTTTACAATTATAATTTAAACATATGAAGAGTCAATGACTTATGATTTAGTTCTTGTAAAAAACTTCCTCGGTCTACACGTGAGCGAAAATTTCAGATCTCATTATTGGTAAATCCAATGTCAAGTTTTAAAAAATAAGAACAAAGGATATGTGTTGTCTTTCATCAAACAAATCTCCTTACCGTGAAAGCATACAAAGTTAATGAAATCATGCACTGAAGCAAGTCGACCAATATCATCTTGCCAAGGTTCATATGGTGATTTTGAAAGCAACTGGAAATCACTCTCACAATAAAGGTTTGAAAAACATTTAGGTGTGTTATCATCAGGTTCTGTCAAAAAAATCAATAGAAAGTGCATATTTTGAATGATTAAACCACAAAATTAACAAATATACAGGTATTACGAGAACATAGGTGGTTGAGTTAGGTTGCATAGTATCTTACAAAGTAAACTGCGACTTATCATCAGTATTGTACTATCTGATCAACAGGAATAATGCCTAAACATTAACCTAATTTAGAAGTACACTTGGTTTTCTGAATAAAGTTAGCACTGATAATGTCGTTTGAAAGAGTGATGAGATGTTCATTAATCACATCAAGACTTACAAAATAGCAAACGACTGTTATACATACACATATTCGCTGAGATTTTACAAATATATTCTTCTTTTTAATGTCTCATACACATATTCATTTGAAAATATCACTATAAATGCTTAACTGATTTCCGATCAAGTAACCGTTCTGAAGACAGCTTTTGAAGGGTTGTAATATCCATAATAAGATTTGGATCTAGAAGTTGCAATGGTTCTCAAGAAATTTGCAACTGTGAATAAGTATTTAAAAAATAAAATCATTTACTTGAATTCAAAATATTTATCACCATCACCAGAGCGAATCACCAGGACATAATGAAATCTTAGCCTGTTTACCGTCTTTCTAATGTATTCCACATCAACAAAATCAGTCTTAGCAACCAAAGACAATAAAAATCCTTATAATTTAAGTAAGGAACTTCAAAATAAAGACTGACTAAGCACGAGTTAAGTGTCAAATTACAAAAGGAACATATTGTACATAAACGATCTGCAACGAAATAATATGTAGGAAAAAGGTAGTTACAACGTTATCATATACAGGTCATAATACAGCCAAAACTGAACCTCATTAAATGAGAAAACATACATCACTTGCAACAACCGACATCAGTGATATGACATTTGTCGTCGTAACTTTACAATCAACCTTCAAAACATTAAACTTCATAATAAAAGAACGTTAAGGAGCCGAAACGCTAGAATACAAAAACCACTACATACAAGCAGTAGTATGAATTCTGTCATCATAACTTGAAATGACGATCAGGATGAGAAAAGCACCAACAAAAACTGAAATTTATAAAATAACTTGAAACTTGATGACACGGAAAATCAGTATTCTAGAAGTATAAAAAAGAGTAGCTTTCATGTTAATTGCTCTGTCTTAGTCAAACTCTATTGAGAAAATGTACAGAATACTGAAACATGTGGAAAATAGATATTTAAATTCAAAATAAAATTAAGAACCATTTGCCAAAGTACATCACAAACCTTGATTTAAACATGGGGACATAAGTTTTGTACACTATTTAGTTGGCAATAAATGATGAAACGAAAAGAAAAGGAGAAAGACGGAGAAGCTAAAAGTGAACGTAATCTCACCTGTAATAGGTAATATTTGACTGACTGAACTAATCAGTTGTTTAGATCTTCTTTTAAAACTGTGTATCGATTTCTTCGGAGAGCTGCATGTAGCGAATGTATCAATGTTCTCTGATCGGAAAGAGCCATTTCTTAAAGTCGATGAATTAGGACTTTTTCTAATAACAGATTTCCTGCAAGATGTATTAAATAAACAACTTCGAAACAATTTACAGCCTAAAATCTTTCATTCAAGATTAATAAAAACGAAATTAAAGCATAAACTAAATGATAACGCTACCACCCATCGCGATAATAGAAGTGCAGCAATAACTTTTGCGAAAAAAAGTGGCCTTGATTACAGAGTAAGGGTTATTTGTTGTCTTAATATTAACAATACTATTTCACTAACAAAGAAGACTTCACGACCTAGTGGTTCGATTGCTGGATCCGTGAGGAATGACTGTAGCCAGGAGCAAGCGAGAGAAGTAATCACAACAGGACATTTAGCCACTAGCTAATAAAGTCATCCATTGTGAAAATTGACATGTGCTGTTAGATAATAATAACAGTAATAATAATAATTTTTATCCTGAAATCAAACCAGTCAATAAGATGAATGAACGAAAGATTAACAGGTATAGTCGGACTAAACTGAAGGGATCAAAAATTGCCACAGTATTTCCAATCATATCTCGACTTTTAAACAGTTAGCTACAATTCCTACAAAAGTTTTAACATACAATACAGTTTGCATTCGAGACATGTCATTGGTCCACCAGACAAATAAAAATAACTTTGGATCAATTGTAGTAACTTCTCTTAACTCCAAAACAGTCAGTAAGATTATCGGGACAAATGTTAGTTACTAATATTATGAACATCTCAATTAGGCAATATTAATTTTTAATGGTTTAAATAATTTCAGTAACAAAATATAGGTAGCCTGCAATGATATTAAAAGGTAAAAACAGAATAGAACGCGGGATATCGTACATCAAAAGTTCAATACATTACAAGCATTTTAGAGGGGATTCAGCCCTCAAATGCCCTGGTACGGCCGAGTGTGGAGAGCCCGCTCTCCCTCTCGAAATGCTCTCACATGGCCACGCGTATATAGCCTCTGCCAGGGAAGTCCTACTCATTGCCTTCTCGTGGCGGGGGTGTTGTTTACGAAATTGAGAGGACGAAAAGCGAATGTCCGGCGCTTTAACCGGATTCCAAACCAATGGTGCACATGGGCTCCAGTATCCTGCAGGAACAAATGGCGTATGAACCAATTGTTGTTTACCGGCTACCATGGAACTGCATCTCCTTACGATGCTCCACTGCCTTGTGGACCAGGCCTTCAGGTCGAAGGCTCGGGGCACCCGAGCAGTATCACAGCCCTCACACAAATCGAATGATTTATGTGGCGCATATGTATTTGGTGCCTTCTTGTACCAATATCTATGTGTTAAAATAATAATAATAATAATAATAATAATAATAATAATAATAATAATAATAATAATAGAGAGGATTCATAGCTTTTTTATTCTTTGATTATGGACATAACGTTAAAATGATGAATTTCCAGATCATCATAACTGTCATTCACAATTATGTAGGGAAATATGTGGTCTTAGACTTTAATTAAGTGAACCATTACTGAACAAAAAACCTGAGTATATACTAAGGGAGCAGGGAATACTGTCCGGGTGCCCAAACCGAATCAGGTGGTTTTCTTAGGGGGCAACTCCTCGAGCTTTGACGTAGAGGCTTAATCCATAAGGCAGTCGAGCAACATTAGACGTAGTCCCATGGTAGCCAGTGACCAACAATAGGTTCATACACCGTTTGTTCCCTTAGGATCCTTGAGCCCATGTGCACCATTGGTTTGGAATCAGGGTTTTCCGACTTCCTTAGGTGGATCCTCCATAATCATAGACCCGGTAAAAAGGACTGGAGATTCGCTTTCCGTTCTCTCAGTTTCGTAAACAACACCCTCGTCGCGAAAATGCAATACGTAGGACCTTCCTGGCAGTAACTGTATATGCGTGGACATGTGAGAGCATTGTGAGAGGGTGAGTTGACCCTCTCCCCCCTCAGCCGTACCAGGGAATTTGGGGAACCTGAAGGACCTCCAACTTAAAGTGAATATATTCAAACATGTAAAATGAGACCTATCAAAAAAGGAAACAAACGAAATTAAATGTATCAATTATACTTCTGTAACAAGCTAACTACACAATGATCAGTACACAGACAATGTAAGAAAAACTATTCTACTAATTTTATTACCGTTGAGTACTGTTCGTGTTAGTCGAATTTGATTTCAAGTAATTTGAAGCAGTCATCAAAGTAGGACGTCGACTATAGTTAGTTGAGACAGAATTTGATGATAAATTGTTAACTTCAAATGTTTCAGCAGAACTAGATAAGGTTTGCTTGTTAGCATCGTTATCAATCAACTGATTGTCGACATTAATATGATTAGTTGGATTTCTTCTATGGTATAAATTTCGTAAGCAAATGTGGCTAGTGTTTTGTGAAGTATTTACAACATATGGTTTGTGATTGTCATCAGTTGATTCAACCTGTAAGATGTTCGAAAAAAGGGAGACATCAAATGAATGATACCGACAGAAGTTTAATTGCATTTAAGATTTTATATAATTACGAAAAGTATGTGTGAACATTAGGATGAAGCTAAGTTTAAGATACAGTAAATTTAAATTGTTCAACAGAAAAGTGTATCTGTTGAGGACAAATTTCCGAAATCATTAACAATAAAAACATTTTAAAACTTTTATTAACTATTTAATAAACGTTTAACCAAATTCACCGAACAGACGTAATAAGACGAGACAGAATTGAATGCTAAGTAAATTTACATTATCTGGGCAACCAAGAAGGTTTGTAACATAATGGCCACAAATTAGACATAACAGTTAAGTATTAATTGACTGGAGATAGAGTAACCCAAAAAAGTGATGCTTTCCAATGGCTTATAACATCTAACCACGTTTATATTTTTGAATATAAGCTGATTATTTTATTAGATAAAAAGCCGATTCTACTGAATAGCTGTCTTGTTTACTGATAACTCTTCAACTGAGGGTTTGCATCAATATTTCAGCCTCGTAAGCAGTTGTCGTTTAACCACATCATGTAGCTGGATATAACCAATCGATAAGGATTTCTTTCATTGATATAACAAACCACAAACGAATGTCGTTACAAACCATCTAATTTTAAGTTATAACACTATCAAAATCTCTTTTAGTACAAATTCTGCAACAAACATTACCCATCCTATAACAACTTTTACCTGTAAAAAGACTTCAGTTATAGTAAATCATATTAAATTCAACTACTAAGATGCCTGAGTTAGTACAGAATTATATAACCGTACAAGTTATTCTTTCGACTTTTGATTGTGTAGTAAATCTGTCTTACATCTTGGCGAGGAAGAAACACTAACATTTAAATGGTTAGAAGATTGACTGGACTCAAAATTGTGAACTAGAATGTTAAACCATGGTGAAAAGGCATATAACTAGTTATTATTTTAGATTGAATGAACACTGATTCTACTAATCGTACATTGTAAAACTGACTTGTAAGATCTTCTATGACGTTTGAGTGCATCATACTTATGATAGACCTTTTTATACGAATCGTAGCTACAAGGTAAATTGTGACCAAAGACGGTCTCTTAAGACCTACTATGAAACTGCAAAGCCTGCGGTATACGATACAATTATTGTAAAAGCTGAATCAGTTGTGATTTTCGTGGTCTGTCCTCGTTCGTGTGAAATCCCGACGGTAAAATGCAGTCCACGGACACATACCTTATCGATTATTAGTGCGAAGATATAGTTAAAACTGTGAAAAAACTTCACAAACAAATTTTTAAAACCAGTACCGATAACACAGAGAGCTGTTTTTTGCGACACAGAAGGCGTGAAACAAAGGATCACAGATAGTGTTCCATATTTCAGAGGAAACGGTTTCAACGTGACTTATTCCGTATGTCAATACGCAACCAAATAAATAAAAACACAGTGAAAGATATTTGCTTAAAAGGAAATTAGATACACCGTTGCTGCATCTATGTTACCACACATACCCAAGACTGATCCTAATTTTTGGATATGCTTTGATAATTCAGACAGCATAAGACTACAATTTAATTTTCACCCAGTTTGTTTGGATATGATAATTTAACAACTCATAAGCTGAAAAAATAATATCCATTTACAGTAAAAACAAGTTATTTTCTAATCATTTAATTCCCAGAAGCTTTGAAAACAATAACATTTAATAATAAGACTAAAGACTTTAACAGGTTCTGGATAACTGATTAAATACTCATGAAGTAATTTCGTTTATAGGAAGTTTATTCAGATAAGATCAAAAACGAGGCACAAAATACTTGCACTACGATTTTTTGGTAGTCAGTACTAAAATACCAAAACTTAAAGGCAACTCGCATAGAGACACAACCAGGCTGAAACATATGGCACATACAACATCCACTTACATTTGTTTTATTGCTGTTTGAATCACATTTTAATACTTCTTTATTGGGAGAACTCTCGGAAGCGTTTCTAGTTTTAGGAAAGATGGTATTCGCAGAGACAAATTTCGGGCGAATTTGTTTTCTAGAATGCTTAAACTGAATGATTGATCGTGGCTTCGCTAAACCCGATTTCGCACTGCTAGGTCCTGATATACATGGTTGTTTTATCAATTGGAAACGTAAGGTCATGAGGTGATTGCAAGGACTGGAATCCGAATTTGTTTGTTGTTGATCTCTAAGAGAAACATACATGGCTTTGCGTAATTCCTGTTCTTCTTTCCAAGAAATCCCTAAAACATTGTCCTAAAAATTAAAAAAAGTTAAATGAAACTCATAAAGAGTCGTGATTTCGCACAACGATTTGGAGGCATTAGATTTCTAAAATGTAGTCCTTCTCAAAATGCACACTCTGATAGAACAGCAAAACGCCGAGAATATCACATTCAAGCGAAATTCTGAAGTTCGTTATCAATTTACGGACTTCAAGACGTTCCAAAGGATACTATCTGAATAAAGATGCAATCAAGATAGACTCCGTTCAGGACGTAGATATAATTTACGATTCATGAGTGACGTTATTTTCACGGCAGAATTATCCATCATTTATTCTGTTAGCCATATCTGACAACTTTTCGAGCCACTGAGTCGGATCAAAAACAGGTCCACATTTAACTAGGTGCAATCAACCGGCAATTGTTTACCCGCCATAAACTAACCAGCTTTCCTTCATTTTTGTATTGGTTGTTTGAATCTTCCCATTGATGTTTAGGACTGTAATCGATCACATTATTATTGGCATATGTGCATCCTGTGCGGATTGCATCGATATTGCCTCCAGCCACAAACATTATAAGCTGAGATAGTAGTGGTCAGCTGACGAGTCCCAAGTAGGATGAAACGCCTGTCCTGAATTTCACTGCTAGCCACCATCATCTCAGCGTATAACTAACTTTCCGCTTCCACCTAACACCGATTTTACCAGATAATGCTATATAAGGAAATCTCTGAGACCACTTGAGTAGAATGAACCCAATCTAAAGAAGTCAGTGTCTTCAAATAACACTTATGAAATCGGTGTATCGACTATTCTCAACCACATAATGTTAAGCTGAAGGCTTTCTCAAAGTATTAGTACCAGACGAGACCACTTTCTGCAGACAAAGGGAGCTGAAAAGAGAGTTATGGCACCTTCGAAACTCAAATAGATAGGATTTCACATGGACAGAGTATAGGTCATAACACTGCAAAATAATACGCTTCAAATTTTGTGGCCGAACCAGGTCACAAACAGTGTAAAATAATTAGTTGGTAAGTCAGTCATAATCAACGTAGAGCCTGGTACAGATGTGCGTTGGTCCAGGTTGTCACATCCCGACCGAAGCTGCTACCTTGACGCGGTGGTCGGGCTTGCCTATCGTGATGACCCAACCGAGTTATATTGGCTGGAACGTATGTTCCTGTAGGTTCTACCATGCCAGGCAGGTCGATTGGAGAACGGTAAGACTAAAAGCAGAAACTCAAGGTATGAGGGCGAAGTCGTACTGCTGACTGTAGAGGTGTGACAGCAGTAAGGTGTTTCCCTCGGACAACCAGCATGACAGCGATGCTGCCTTCCCACAAGGAGGGGTGGGGTTAGAAAAGGTCGACCCTAAAAATGCACACCTCACCTTACCTCACGGATTTCCGTCTCCGGCGGTAAGGCCCCTTGAAGAACGGAGCTAACATGTCAAAAACCTTCCACAAAAAGGCCGTGCGCGACCGGCCTCAAGCAGTTGTCCCTTGGGCTCTGCGGTCACGCTCCCAGGTCGTTAAGACCAACACTAATCCAATTTCCTTATCAGGTTTCTCAAGAAATACTCTTCCACGGTGTGGGCAGCCGGGAAGTGATATCAGCCCTCATACCCGTAACAGCATAGGTTGTTACATTACATTAGTACAACGATGTGAAAACAACAAGATGAACAGTAAAACAGATCGAAGTAATGTAGCAGTGATAATGAGAAAGATTGAATGCTGGGAATGTAGTTCGAAAACACAAAGTGTAAAGGTATGTATGGAAGAACACTGAGGTTGAAGATCGGAAGATAGAAATTGGATGTACCTGCACCACTATAAACGACTCTGAATCGTATCAACCAGTCGCCAACCACTGATCGTGGTTGATAAGTGAATTCAAACCAAGTAGCTTGCATCAACTAACATGGCTCAGACCAAAAGTCGACGACTTCATATACTAATCCTACTTCCTGGTTCAGCCTCTTCAAGCTTCCTTTCAATCTACTTATATATCACCGAAATTGCATGTTTAGCAGGGCGATGTTTAGACATATGTAACGTGTTTAGGCCACCTTGATAATTAAGGATTTACAACCCCAGAAACCAACTTGTCACCTTTGTTTTACCTTCAACATGGATCAATCGGTAGTTTCATGAAAACCAAACAATATTTCGAAGACACTTATAATCAAAAACCTGCATCCTGTACATGCTTGCTACTTATGTTCATGTTCCACAGTGATAATTTAGTACATAGAGGGCTGCTGAGCAATACTCTCGTTTCTTGGTTTGCAGACAAACATTTTGCCTACATCACAAGTGACGAAAGTTGACAAAGCCCAGTCAAGCTTTCTGAATTTGTTCCGAGATTTTGTCAGATCCCAACCCACATAAACTGATGGGACTTTAAAAATAAGTGACGTGGTCAATGCACTTAACTACTTTAGGAGTCAATGCAGAACACTTCAACAGCAGGATTTCGCGTTTTGAGGAGGAAAATGTACTCCGATCATGTTTGTAATATTGCTTAGTGCGATCAAAGGACTCGGAAACTTTCAAGAACTATTACTTTCTCCTGTAGATTTGTAGTTTATCACTCACGAACTAAACAAATGAAAATTTCAAGCAAAATTTCAACTAACATACAACCAACTAACAGCATGTCTACATATCCTGAATACGTCATCATTTCTAGATCTCGATAAAATATAGATTAAAGTGTGGTCCGTGCAGGACTGAGTTGGAGTACGCTGGTTGTGCATTTCTCACCCAGTAAGCTCTGGTGGATACTTGCAGAAGACTCTAGAATCTTGTGTAAAAATTGTAAATATACTAACGTTCTTCTTACTGTGGTTCGTACCCCCACTCGACCTCGTCTATTTGGAATATAATTACGTCCCTGTTCAACCGTGATCTGATTTAGAAACTTGTCAAGTGAAGTAAAGTGTCTACAGAATACTAAGTAATAAGAGTAGATGGGTTGTTATAAGAGAGATCATAACACTCGTTAATACTAAAAAATTGTCTCATAATTCTAAGAAAGTCCTTATTTTGTTGAGAAAATCATACAAACCGTGATGAACGATTCTGGAATTCGGTTAACTGGCCACTCTTATAGTTTAGTTAATAGGATACATAAGACAAGCTCATTTATCGCTAAACTGAAGAACATGTATTTCTGGATATGAAAACATCAAGCAAATGAATTAATAGATGAAAAGTGAGTGATAAAGGATTTTCTCGACGGAATACATGGCAATATCTTATTCAGGGTTAATCGTAGTGCGTGGGTGTCTGTAACACGAACCGACTTGCGCGGTCGATGGGGATCGGATAAATCCACCAATCTGCCGCAAAAAATGGATTAGAATGTTTTAACTCGTGTTGGACACATGAGAGCATTTATGCTTATACGTATGCTTGGAATTCATAGGTTGATTTGATCTGTGTACTTCGGTTGTGCGTGTAACGCATACTTGAACTAACAACAGTAATAATCAAAGAGACGTCATCTATGCTTACATATGCCATGGGATGAGCAGGTCTTGTACCTATACATTTCTGGTGTATGTGCAATGTGTATTTGGCGAATCAAACATCCTGGCATTTAGTTACCAAATAAAGTATTTATGCATATCTGTATACTATGAAACACAATAGTATCAAACTTGTATGCTTCTAGCGTGCATGTCATGAATATTTGCCAAGTGTGGGTCCAATTTCGCCTTCTCAACAGTCGCAAATCTAACACTGGGTCTTGGTGTTGTGATGGTTATACCCGTGAAACATGTATCTTAGCACGGACATGTGTGCCTGTATGAGTTGAAGCAAAGGTTCAGACAGGCTAATAGGCTTCTCGAAGAAGACTTGACCAACCTGAATGAGTGGAATGGGCATCAAACGGAATAAGTCACCAAGACAACGTATGCCCGAAATGTCTAAAACAACGTAACTCATGGTAAGGACAAAATTGTTAGTAAATTATCATTGCATGTAACTGTTAATCAGAATACTCATAGATACATTTAGCTGAGTTGATCACATTGTTATAAACTTACGTCACTGGTTTTTGATAATGCCCTTTTAGGTCGATGAGATCGTTGTTCGAACTGTTGCTCATTACGAGTCATCTGAAATGATGAAAAATGAAGATAATAAAAAATAAAACTGTTGTAAACTTCTGGCAACATGTCCATTATTATATACCACCGAATTCTCAATTTTTTCTTTACATAAGATTAACAATCATTACTATGACCAGAAAATTCCAAACCATCTTCTTACATAATTTAAAATACAAAAGATAACTACAGTACGGAATGTCAACATAATATGTCGGGACTTGTCTGGTCTTATTACATAATGGAGCATCTCAAATTAACACGGTTTAAAAACGTCATTATCCTTTAATTTGTAGCTAACTAGTAGATATGTTCGGTCTTAAACAATACTGATTTGGTGAGGGTTGATCATAATATCCTGTCTCTCAGATTGGGGTGCAGTCAAGTATAAACCAATAATCCTGAGATTATTGTAATACTTAGTAGGTATGGTTATTGACTATAATCTGATTGGATCTTACATAACTTTCATTAGTGTAGACTACCTGGTTGGGGACCACGAGATGATAGCAACCGATGGTTAGAGACCCTGAATGACATGGCCCAAAATCGTTTGCAATGGCGCAGGTGCATCCACTCTTTGTGTTCTCCCAAATTCTAATCTTCTGAATTCTTCATGTCCCTTTTTTCCTCTTTCCAAATTTATTTCACTGAATTATACTCTTTAAATAACATCTCCAAACCCTAATCTTCCCGATTACTGCTTATACTCTTACTACCTCTACCACTACGGGATTTGAATCGACAACTGCATCTCTGTGCTAGTGTGGTGTGGCAACTCGAACTGATGTATGTACGTACGAAGTTCTACGTTGTTACTGACTGATTAGTCTCTTTATCGTTAACTGTTACATTTAAGAGTTATTTTCTGAAACACAATGTTTCATAGCAGTTTGACAATTGTAGACAATAAAATTACACCTTAACGTGGCTTCCGAAAGGTTGGACACAGTAGAAATGAAAATATTAGCAACCCATTGGGAATAAACTATTATGTATAATGTTTTACTATGGTAAATTGATGCCATATTTCTAATCAAACAGTGCGAGTAGAGAACAGCATGTAAATCTGTATATAATAAATGAACTAGATTGTAAAATACTATTTTAACGTCCCCTTAAAATAAATAGAAATATGTTCCATTTGTGGATATTTGGATTGGAAAATCTAAGCTTCAAAATCGCTTTCATCATTCTTAGTACAAGCATTCAACATAAATTTCAACCACACATGGAAAACACAACACAAATTCTTATTAAAATGTTGTATTCTGGTATTACAAAATATGCATGTTAAAATATTATTACCATGGGTAACGCAAAACAGAGCAAATATTTTGGAAATAATTGGATCCATAACTGCTACTGAGAAATAGTATATAATCAGAGTGGAATTAGAGGTACTACATTATTCCAGATATCTCCAGATTCATCAAACCAAAGAATTTTGAAGTTCATGAAAGGAGATAATTTTAATACATCATTAGATATTTGGATATTAGTCGATTTGACTAGTAGAATTAAATGTTACCAGGTCCTTCAATTTGTCCTGAACATTTACGTCAAGTTGATCCCACCCTTTAAACCATGGACGAAAATCAACGTATGCTGACATAGTTGGTACAGATGGCCCACTGTGGTCCAAACTCTGAAAAACCCGGAAGTTTGAAAGTGAATGGGAATACTTCAACACGTTTTGCATTGTGTTGGTTATAAACTACAGAAAATATGGTAAAACTGAGCAATATATCAAAATTTATGGTGTCTAGCATACAATGATATGAAAATAAATAGTTACTTATTATTGGGCAAAGGCTGTTTGGTCTCATGAGAGGGTCTGCATATTGGAGAAAATGGTGCAGAAAAAGATGTATTGGAGGAATAAAACGCATGAAATAGTATTGAGGCTCAAGGCTTGGATTAAGAAAAGTGTGAATAGATCTGCGATCATGTAAGTGACTCGATTAACGTCTCCAACCACCGATCATGATTATAACCCGGACCCTAAAATGGTCGTATTGTAAGCTATTATGATACCGATATGTAGTGTATGAATTTCTAGTGTCAGACAAAATTAAATAATGATAGTCCTACCTTGAAGATTCAGTTATGTCTCAAACGTGGAGAAACCTTAGACAGGAAGTTACTTAGTTACATTATTTACACTCGTTTAGACGTGGAACTGAGTTTATTATAGGAAGGATGGATACAGTCAATACTACCTTGTGCATGTAAATGTAATTTCTAACAAAACTTGAAGAGCTTAGATAAGTTTAAGCCAGTGATGCTAAAAAATATCCGAGGTGTTATGAACAATCTATAATTCGAAAGTGAAGAATATATTTTAATTTAGTGGTTAATTAGTAGCAGGGTCGTTGAATAACCTGAAGGTTCTAGGTTTGATTTCGTAAAGGTACTAGTTCGTAAATTTTATAGTGGACTTGATGACGACTGTCAGGATTTTTAGCTTGTTTTGATATGCGACCACCACAGAGATTATTCATCTTGATAGTTTACATGAGGTAAATTGTTATCCTGTGACCACTGGTCAATATCGCGTGCTCAGTTACCAATTAGGGTTCTGATTCTAAGTTGATCTGCTATCTATTCTACAACTTAGTGTCTCTGACTTATTACACGTCTGACCAGCACTACTGACAGTGAGCCAAGAGTCAGGCTCCTATTGTTCTAGCATTGGCTAGCTCTCCTCTACCACTATCTTCGAGTTCGGAAGTAGCAACCCACCTCTACTGCATTAGCATTTTAAACAGACATAATTTATATAGATATACCAGAATGCAACATCATAAAATGGAAAACAACAATTACACATAAACAAGCAGAGAGTGGCTATGATTAGGGGAAACTAAGTAATAGGCTAGCAATAAATTAGGTTGGCAAAGTCGTATAAAAATATTTAATGGGTTTAACGAAAAGAAATCATATATAGTAATCTAGATACCCAGTAATTATGTAAAACTATGAATAACGATAATTTGAAAGGACAATTTCGACCTCTACAATATTCATTCCGTTATAACATGAAAAAGTTATTAAATAAAACTTCTGAATAGAATTCATCTCAACTCACTGAAGTCTTCCTATCCGGTAGGCAAGTTGAAACCGACGGTTCACTCCTTACATCGCTCTCACTAATCATATGACTGTTTTTGCCAGACATTATTTATCTAAACATAGATTAAAAATATTAGGATACAGAGGAAAAGTAACTGAACGTGTTGTGAGACAGGAAATGTAATAGCTGCACAGTAGTAAAGCATTTAATTGACTATTACATCAGTATAAGGAACTGAAACCCTAAGAACGTTTGGGCGACCAAATATGGAGATACATGAAAAGAAATGTTGCAAAAATGCCACATAGCTAGGCAACTTTTTTTATTAATTAAAATGTTTGTAAAAAGAACAGGGGACTAGAAACCCTATTAGAAGGAAGATTGAAGTTAGATCCGTATGGACGGACGCTGATAAGGAATACAGGATTTTGTTATTGGTAAAGTTTTTTACTAGTATTATACTTAAACATGCTATAGGTTATTGATAAAAGTAACCAGCGGCCTTTTTTCAAACAATGTAGAATTGCTTCCTAGAAAGCTTGTAGATTAGAAATGAGGTTTAATATCATAGCTTTATATATTTTAATTAATACAGACTGAAAGCATAAACTAAAACACTGAACCTTGTTATTGTAAAGAAAGATTATCAATATTTTTCTAGAATACCCAAACTATTAAGCAAGCAACAATTAATTTACTCACTTCTAAGTACTTATTGCAAATAAGTAAACGACTTAATATTGAATAGTGTACATTTCTTCAGTTTTAAAAGATAAGTGTCGTATGCTGACGTGTTTGCAAACTTTGTGTATATGTTTAGCTCGTTAAAAGACTACGTTAATGATTATGAGATATACAATTCAAATGAATATAATAACTTGAAACATCATTTGAAAACACTGAAGCATGTGATTTGAAATACAGTATATGCAATGTTAATGGTTGGAACACTTAAGATATTGAAAACTACCACATTTGACAAATAAACTTTGCTCAAATATCATACCTCAGATCTGTACATTTAATTCGATGTAGTTTCGCCAAAGTTGGATTTGATTAATTTACTTAGAAGTTTTGGATCTATTTTAGGTTTCTCAACATTTGATAAGATTTACTTTAGATAATTAATCACGATCTCTGAAATATTGATCGAGTACACTAGGAGCTATATACTGTGGACTTTTAAAGTTGATGCTGATAAAGAATAGAGGATTTCGTTATTGGTAAAGTTTTTTACTAGTATTATACTTAAACATGCTATAGGTTATTGACTGAAACAAAGTTGCTAATGAGAAATATCTACTAACCTGTCTGTATACTCAAATCATATTACCACCATGGGCAAATGCTGACATATTTTATGGTCGATGATTTTACATATCTTAGTATCCGTGGTGTTTAACAATAAAATTTTTAAAAGATACGAGTGTAAATATGTCATCAATCAGTTTTAGGTCACTTTTAAGTAGCTTAAGTGAATTGTTTAGAGGCATTTCTTACAAACTAATGTCTACTATTAATAAGTTATGATTTTTAGCACGTTCTTATATCAATGCATTATCACTTTCTACTTTTTAGTTCTAAATGAAATACAATAAGATAAGTACTTTGTACCTGATCAACAAATTAAGTCACAAGACATTGTGTTACACTATATTTGATATTAGCCAACTGAAATCTAACGTTAGGAAAGCATTGGATTTATATGCAGTTGCCGATTACTTGTTAATTGGCCATATCTATCTTTTAGAAGAAATCTCCACTTTCTGAGAAATTTTTAATCGAATATTGCAATCGTAAAAACACAACTTCGTGCCAAACAAGTTAATCAAAAACCTTTCTGAACAAGTAAAAATTATTACGATAGGAAAATTTAGATGCTGTTGAAGCTGACAATCACTAGTCGCCAAAACTACCAACTTAAAAAAGTACAGAACGGTGAATATTCTGATACGTTGAACAAGCTCATTCTAATTATATCTTACAGATATGATTATTATTAAATTAGCTTAGTCATATCAAAGTGAAAATGGTTTAAGAACTTCATTCAGATTCATTTTACCCCTAATATTATACACTTTCGTTTGACGAAGTTTCCATGTTTTAATTAAATAGCTAAATAATTCTATGGTCGCAGTCAAGTTCCAGTATAAAAATGATGACATGGTTTTATAGAATTATTCGTTGATTCCATAAATCACGCCAGTTGACCAGCTGGTGTTTGAAAGTACACTAATTAAATGTCATAATTTAAATACTACGTATAAATTCACAATCGCTAAATAGTATTTAGACAGCTAAAATTAAAGCAACAACAAATAACACGCTTATGTTCAGAACTGCACTAAATTAATGAATAATTCACAAAAATAAATAGGCTGACTCATTGATACAATAATATTAAACTTAATAATTTAAGAGAGTAAAACCCTAATAGAAATAAATGTGTGTTGTTAGGACATGAACAACAAATCAACGCTAGTGATTAATAAATAAGTGTCAGAGAATAGAAGTACTCTCTGATCAATATTTCTTTTTTCCATTTAATTACTAAATGACCACTTCATTAGTGAAACTATGTAATTTTTAAATTATAGTAAACGTTTTACATCTGTATATGGATATGTGTGAAGTCAATTAGATTTTCAGTGTAATTAATTTGTTAATATAAATGTTTATTAATTTTCGGAATACTAAATGAAATTTTATTCTTATTGATCAGATATTGTCATGTATTCGTTCAATACTAAATTATTAAGTTTAATTAGAATTACTATGCATCGTTAAAGTGGTAGTCTTTAAAACTTGAACAAGATGAGAACAGTTCATTGAAGTCATCAAAATATCCTCATATCTTTACAAAAGATGGACATTCTAAGCCATCAAGATTTCATTCACAGTACGTTTGTGACAGAAGTCGATAGTGTAAATATAGTAAGTCCGGTAAAATAAAAGTTGATTGATAGATGTGAAGATTTACTTGGAAAGTTTAACGGTTCTTATCTTTTTTGTAAAATGATGAGTATGATTTTTCAAATTATAATCTTAACTGACCGCCTATTGGTGGTTGAATACATTTCTGAGCATCGATTTTCTATCATGTAAATCAGACTTCCGTTAAATAGGTGGAATGGACTTTCTTAAGACAAATATCTGTACTAGGATATACCATTCAAGATGAATATCATGCCGAAAATCCTCCCGATGACATTTCAGTCAAGTTTGCTGCGTGCTCAAAAGTTGTCAGTATCGTGGTTGTCTCCTTTAACAGTACTTAATTTTTGATGAACGAAGTGGAAAATATGGCTATCTCCCGCTTCTCATACTATCGAAAAGCGTAGTCTCAAAAAAATTCGAATAACCCAGTATGAATTATTTTTCGAGAACATGAAGTGAAGCATTTCACTGTTGAAAACATACAAAATCGATGCAAATACATACATCAACAGAACAAAGATAAGTGGGTAAGGGAAGTTACGTAGCAAGACCTCCAGGAACCCATATGAGTTGTGGTGTACTAACAGATGCTAACCAAACATATGATTTTCAAACAGCATAGTGACACCATACAGTATATTATCCTTTGATCCAGTCTTGGTCACAAGGCAATGTTTAATTTAAAATTCTCTTGAACGACATTTGTAATACATATCTAAACAGCCGAATTCGATATTTAAAGGGACCATTGATTCAAAGATAATCTAAGTTGTCCAAAAGCGATCGATTAATTTTAATATGAATTAGAAGGCGTTTTCAATTAATATAGATCTTTCTTGGGAACGACGACCTAAGAGGTTTGGCGAAAATTTACTAGCATGGAAAGAATAAATTTTTCAAACGTCGAACAAGATTGATTTTATGATAGCACCACAAACCCAACATTCTGCGGTGAAATAAGTATCACCATGGAATCAAGGGTAGCCTATATTGATATAAGCCGCTAGTCTGAAGTTGATTTTGTCTATCACAACATTCATACAACTACACAGATGCATGAATTTCTAAATTATATTCAAAATGCCAACTGTCCAAGCTAATCGCATACCTGCTCAGCAATATGAAAATAATTCGGAATTCAGAGGTGCACGGTGAATGTTATTCTAAAAATACACTAATCCCTAACCGACAACACACAATTTAGGTAACTTCCATGTGATCATATATTGAGAGATCATTTATCCAAGATGGAAATATATTTTTAAGGTAACAGATACATGTGACCACTAGATATTTTACTGAGAAATGTTTCCAGAACATCATAGAAGGCAAAAGCGACTGACGATCTTCATTGATGAAGATACGTGGTTAGGTACCCTCATCATATTTTACTAAACGTCTCAAGAATAGACAGTTAAAAATGTAGCGATTAATGATAGCAACATCACAAAAAAGCATCTAGAGATGATCAACGGATCCGTGAAATAAAGAGATCCGATACGCCTTTTACCAATATTTTAAACGCCGCTGGAAAAATATTTATTTTTCGATAATTGCCACAAACTTTATGTGATTTAATTCGAAAATGGGTCTGATTGTGTCTTTATAACACACGGTTTTTCATACAATAGTAAAAAAACAGACAAGGTAATTCAACTTAAGCCTTGTACCAGAAACGCCACTAACCCCGGTTGAATAGCCGCGTGAACCTTACAATAAAATAAGCTGAGTACATTATAATCTCACAAAATACATTACTCATCTGAACATCCAAGGCAACTTGCAGAACCTATATCCCGTCAAAATCAAACTCCAACGCCATCCATCACGAATATGAGAATTTCGAGCGAACAGTTTAACTAACTGTGAGCTGTGATTCGCGATTGAAGACAACAATTATTAGGGAAAACTTATGTGGAAACACCAATAGGATTAAATAATCATATCAGGGTAGCTCAATTTGTAATACTTTCCTTTTAGATATGATCTTATAACTCAAAAGAATCCAGAGTGCTAACGTACACTGATATTTCGGCTTAAACACTTTCAGATAAATAACAAAGCACACAAGGCGACCTTGAAAACACAATCTACAACCTTTATTTCAAAATTCGGTCAACAATCAACATCTTTGTCTTCAGTCTTCAGTTTTCTGTAATGAGGATAGGAGGTCTGTCGACCTATAATAATCCTTGCAGTTTGTAATACTGTGGAGGTCCAATCTGCTTTTGAATATATGGTCGCACATAAATCGAATATAGTAATCCAAACATTTCATCATCTAAATACTGAAAAGACCTACGAATTGACCATAATATCCTATAGACTTTTGCAGCAGCAGCCTTACAGTGACTAGTCGTTTTGAGATCATTGCTTAATATAACTCCTAAGTCTTTATAGTTTCTGGCTTTGGGTAGCACGAATCCACGTAGTGTATGATGATACGATTCATCAGAATTATTTAACTGCATCACTACACTCTTATTAGGATTTACTTCTAGTGAACACCTGTCTAACCATGCCACCAGTGAGCTAAGATCGTCCTGTAATACTATTTTATCCGACATACTATGTATGGGTCTCCAAATCTTTATGTCGTCAGCGAAGAGTAGAACGGGTGATTTTGCTACAGTTGGCAATTCATTTACATAAAGTAAAAAGAGAAGAGGACCTAGGATTGTACCTTGGGGAACCCCACTTTTTACAGGTACCCACGAGGAGAGAGCCCCATTAACCCTTACCCTTTGTCTCCTGTCATGGAGAAAGTTACTTATCCAATCGACGACTGTGTTATGGATTCCAAAACGTTTCAGTTTGAATTTAAGACCAGAGTGTGAAACCTTATCAAAGGCTTTACTTAGATCTATGAAAATAACATCCACAGGAGCATTCCGATCCTTTGCCGCAGCCCACTCTTCTTGTGCAATGAGAAGATTTGTCAAGCAAAATAGGCATTTCCGAAAACCATGTTGTGCCCTGGAGAAAAGAATTTTTGTCCTTCAACATAGTTTATAACAGCTATCCGAATGATTTTCTCCATCAGTTTCACAACTGCACTAGTTCAGCTAACGGGTCTATAGTTACTAACTAAATCCCTACTCCCAGCCTTATACACCGGACTTATTATGGCGTCTTTCCAGTCTCTAGGAAGTCTGGACTACCTCAGAGACATGTCGAATAGTATCGCTAATGGTTCAGCAATTTCATCTGATATGGCTTTCATAATCCTAGGATGAATATCATCAGGACCACTGGACTTATCAGGTTTGAGATGCTGAAGTAGCCTTAAAACAGTATCTTTCTCAATGACTACAGGATCCATCAGCGAGCCATCACGGTCATGATGAATCAGTGGTCGTTCCTCATTACCAATAGAAAACACTTTACTAAAATATTCCGATAAAGCTTCAGCTTTTTCGGCATCATTCTCTGCTAAGATTAACGGATTGTCTCGTATCAAAAGTGATGGAATTCCATCGCTTCTCTTAGTTCGCCTTTTTATATACGAGAATAACCGTTTCGGACTATATCTAGAATCCCTAACCAACTTTTTTCGTATGAATGTCTAGTCTTGCTTATTAACGCTTTACAGGCATTCCTAATCTTACAATAACTGGATCTGTATTGTTCTAAGCCAGTAGAGATGAACATATTCCAGTGATTCTCCCTTTTTTTAACGAGTTTCCTGACCGTTTTAGTTATCCACGGTGGACTATTATTCGGTCTTCGCGGTACCAGGTATGGTATGAACGGGGACGTAACTAGTCTAAATTTACCTTTAAATACAGACCATGCTTCTTCAACTGATAAGCTAGTATCTACTAACCAATCTGTCTTAGCAGCGCATTCCTGAATGGCTGATATGTTAGCTTTGCATACATTTGGGCGGGGTGTAACCTGATCGTATAACATGTCCCTAGTTCTACACGCAAATGACAAAACAGCGTGATCGCTGTTTACTAACGGTAGAAGAATATGTAAGTCGACAATATCCTCAGTCTCATGAGTGATTACCAAATCCAGCAGAGAAGAACCCTGGTTAACCCCAAAACGTGTGGGTTTGGATACATGCTGCACTAGTGCATGCTCCCCTTGTTATCAGGAACCTACTATCAAAGGAGTTTATAGATCCTTCTGTGGTCATATCAGTCCAACTAATATCAGGTGAGTTAAAGTCTCCTATTATCAAGCATCTGGTATTATCACTCCAAAGATGAATGTGCTCTAAAACAAAGTCATCGGCTAAGCAGATTGAGCTCCGATAGATGACACCTAGCATAAATGTACTACATCCTATAACTAACTTACAGCCAATGACTTCACAAGTGCCGCTATCATGGGATTCGCTAGTAAAGGAGCGGATATTTATGCCATTGGCTATATATAACAGGACGCCGCCTCCTTTTCTACATTTATGTCTATCACTCCTGATGCAATGGTATCCGGATAATTCTGGAGTAATGTCTAAGTCATGGACTAACCAAGTTTCTGTCACTGCTACTATGAGTGGCTTTAACCTGCTTACTAGTGCTTCTAGTTCATAGAACTTATTTCGTAAACTACGAGCGTTGGCATATAAAACTCCTAAGTAGAACAGCCTATCCACACAGGCCTTGGTAGCATTCGCTTCCAAGACCTGACTATCCGAAAACCCACTAACCGGAGATTTTCCTCGCCGTTTTGCCGACGGGTTTCAAGTTCAGCTAGTGCTTTCTTCCTTTTTATTCTATCTTCGAGAGACATGTCAGGTCTAACTCGGATGTCAGAGTTGTCGTGACAACGAGCGCTACTTAACAAGAGATCGCGTTGCTTCTCCGATCCTAGGATTACCTTAAGGAGTCTGCATGGATGGGGTTCAACATTGTCCTCGGTCCTCTTGCCTATTCTCACCAATTTTTTGACCTGAACTCCTTTGGAGTTATCTGGTAAAATACTACGAATGTATTCTGCTAGCTTTTCTAAGTCATGCGCGTGTCTAGTTTTCGGATCAGGGTCGTTTGACTCCCGCAATTTGCTCACAATAATATTCGATGTTATTAGATTTTTCTTCTCCGTCACGCCAGGATGGGTTTCACTCTTACCATCAGCTTTTGGTAGTGCCATTTGTGGCTCACAATTGGAGTCCACCAGTGATTTGCTAACCACCTGCGTACCGTCTACAGCTTTTTTCTTTTCGTTTCGCTTCCGACGTACCGTAGTCCATTTTTCATCCCTCATAACACTGGGACTATTTGAAACGGTGACTGTTTTATCCAGATCTTCGGTTCCCACTAAAGGTGCATTAATAACAATGTCAGTACCAGGTGGTACTTTCGTGCCTCAAGGTAACCCTCGTGCTATTGACAGAAGAAACCAGACAAGTAGTGAATAGATCTATATTTCGATCTTCGCGCAGTCACAGTGGAGCGTGGGATTATCTGTTCAGACAAACAAAGGCTCTCAACATTCAATATAAGATAATAGGGAATATAACGCTTATAAAAAATAAGGAAGTGAATGAATACTTGAACAATACTGTTTTGGCATATGCTTGGTTGTTTGGCGTCGACTCTTAACCAACCAACTTAAGCTGTTACAATACTACTCCCCCTGTTAATGTCAACGAAGATTTCACTTTTACGTCGGTCAGAGTCGGTTGTTTGGGGCGTCGCGTAACAGCAGGTATTACACTGACACATTCGTCACTGTCGGTGCCCGTGTTCTCAGCGCATATGCCATCCTTCTTCTTACCAGCCAAAGCCAATAGGATCATAGCCTCCTGTATTTGTAATGCCTTGTTAGCACAGCAAAACATGCAAAGCCAATGTGATTTAGGCTTCGAACATCTTTTGTATGCGGTGGGACTTAAGTGGGTGCACATTTTGTGGAACCACTTATTGCATTCGTCACGCTGCATCCCCTCCACCACAGGGAACAAACAGTTTGGTTGTCCACATTTGTGAGTACTACCAACCATTTTAGTCTGATCAAGGTGTAACACACAATATGATCACAGTATGAACACAAATGTCAGTCAACGAATAAAAGGTTACCACAAGGAAAAGTTTAGCAAGTCTTCAAACCATAACTAAAGTACTTTGATACAGACCAAGAATGCTTCGAATGTAATAAATAAACAAAAGCCAAAAAAACTCAACAGAATATCACTTTAACTGTATTAGATTCAATAAAAGTGTAAATCGTAGTTTTGATACGTAATTTACGATCAAAACTGTTTACTAATTCAACGATAAACAATACCACTATCTTTTTTCGACAGCGCACGTCAGGTAAAAAAAAACCTGGAGTAAACATATCGGATTCTTTAGTCTTTTGTCGTAGTGTTACGATACGGTTACAATTTTTTGAGTTCAAGAGAAGTTAATCAGCCATTTGATTGCTCAAATTTACCTTATCGTTGCACATAACTCATATTTACGTGAAAAGTTGTTTACATGTGCACATACAATGGATCTTCGTGAAGACAAACGTTTCAAAGTATATCACGGTCTTTGGTCTTCCCAGACGTTACATAAGATCAGACAGAATAATGGCTGAAGGACTGAATTCAAACACATAATTATTTGCACAATCCCTCGTGTTCTCTAGATAAATATAAGAAAACCAAGACGTCCCAAAAGACTTGGAGGATGAATACTTCATTAAAGAGTCAAGAAAAGGGGATTTAAGCGGGTGTCACAACTTCAGTAGGATCAGTCTATAAGTGACAATCCGAGTTACAGATGCCACTAGTACTCGGAATTTGACAACACCCTAACCAGTAACACCTATAATCGAAATATACCAACCCAGTCAAATCAGAGGTTCGAATATATATTTGTTGAAATATCGATATATAGAGAAATGACTAATCTGAGCTTTCTAGCGGTTGTAGGCGTACCCTATCGTGATCTGGTGCGGATGTGTGACCGAGCGCATTCTGCTAGGAGAGTCCATTAAAACTAATGCGATCAGCATCAAATGTCAAAGACGTACAGAGCTACTGATTTCGGGGATTTATTTGCCGCTACAAATTACATCGTTCATTCACCTGAAAAACAACTAGATCTCAAAAAATCTGTCGACCAACACCAACGTCAGAATATTCAATACAA